AGCCCAGGCGGCGCCACGGCCTACTGCGCCAGCAGCAGCAGCAGCAATGGCGGCGGCGGCGGCGGCAGTCCCTGCGCGAGCGAGCTCGACAGCCCGGTCTCCCCGAGCCTCGTCGTCACGCCCGTCTCGGGCCGCTCGTCGTTCGACGACGGCCGCAGCGGGTGCGGCCAGAGCCCCCTTAACGCAGCAGCAGCTACGGCGCCCGCGGCTGCTCGCGTGGGGGGCCACCAGGACCCAGACCACTGCGCGGCGCGCTCTTGGCGGCCGTGGTAAAGCATGGGTATTGGTGGGGGCACCTTCTCCGAAGGCCATTTTTTTTTTGTCTCCCCACTGCCCACACACCGCCTGGCGCGGCTGCTGTCGCGGCGCACGCGCTCCACTCGCCCACGGGCACGAGGCTGCGAGGGGAGGGAGGACCGTCTTCGCCGCAGAGGAGCGAAAGAGAGAGAAAGAAAGAATCCGATGCGACGTGGTCCTCGCGCTCTCGTTTCATGTCCGTCCGCCCCACCCCCCTCCAGGGCATCTTCCGCTGCCAATTTGCACTCAACTGCTCGCTGGGGCAGCGCGCTCTCTCTCTCTCTGTGCTCGATCCCGTCTTCTTCGTCTTCGCCTTCTTCTTCTTCTTCTCCGCTTTTGCACACGCGCAAGTCCTGGCCGGCATGTAGCACACAGTTTTTTTTTACGGTGTAATATGTTTTTTTCGCGCAGCCTACACATCTGTACCAGTACTATACGCACACACGTTTCGGGAAAGTAAAACCAATAAAAATGATAAGGGATAGCATTCGGGGACGGCTCCTGCGATCGATCGAGCTCGCTTTCGTCTGCTCCGGCATTTGCGGAGACAGAAGCCCGCGCGAGCCGTCGGGCGGCGGCGACAGACCGCAAGACGCCGAGAGGAGACCCCGCTCGAGACCCGTCCGTTGCCGGAAACACGAAGAACGATCGGGTGCGCGGTGCCTCGGTGCCGCGATGGTGCACGGACGGGGCGAGGTTTAGTTTTGGCGTCGCCTGCCCGAGCGAGGGGAGGAAGCTCTGCCCAGTGCTTAGTTTCGTTTGCACGCAAGATCGATCTGCATGCTGCCGTTCTCGCTGCAGCTTTGCGCCGGGAGGATGCATTGCATGCGCTAAGTTGTCTGATAACCTTTGGTTCGACGCACCCGCGCGCGCGTGTCGAACGCCCCCCCTCGGGCGATCGCGCGGGCTTTTGGGCTCGCCCCATGCGGAAACGCCGCGGAGGCGTGCGAAAACGTACTCGAGGAGACGGATCGCCGCGTTCTGAGCCGGCGGTCGAGGTGAGGGTCGTTCGTGTTTTCGTGTGTGGCCCGCGCGGTGCACCCTGAGCTCAGGTGAGCAACGGCCGTGATGGAACACGCGACGCGAAACAGTCCGACGCTCCGCACCCTGTTTTTTTTTTTTTTTTCGCTCGAGAGAAGAAAAAGAAAAGAGAAAAGAGAAAGAGAAAAATGAGGCACTGCGGGAGTCTAGGGCAGATCACACTTTGTCGATGCGGCTCGCTTGCATCCTTTAACCAGGCCATTAATCAGAGGAAGCTGAAAGACGGCGGGAGGCCCCACGCCGTGCACAGGCTACCGCTCGCCCGGGCCTCACCAGCTCCATATGTGCGAACAGGGGGTTCGTCGAGGGAGTGGGAAACGAGACGGGTGCGCTCGCAGGCTCATTTTTGGCATGGGTAGTGTTCGGGCGCGTCTGCACGGACGCAGCGCGTGGCGCGGTCATCTATGAGTTGCATTGCGCCGCGGACAGCGGCCGCAAGACCCTAGCCGTACTGAATTGAATGCCGAGAGCACTATGCTACATGACACTCGGCAAGCAAAGGGACTATTACTGTGAGAGATGATCCTATGAGTGCCGGACGTCCGATCGCATTCGAGGCCATCGATGGCCATCGAGAGCTGGGGCACCCAATGTCCTCTCAGTGCATCCACAGCTTTCTCGAGGTTGCTCCTAGCGAACGCAGCCGTGCTGTGCATCTTCCCCACAGGAACTTGCCGCAAGACCACGTTCGACGGCGACTCTATGCAATTGGCGGAACACCATGCTTGGAAGGTGCAAGTGCTGCTCACACAGTAGCAGCTCCACTCCTTGTTCTTTGCACAGTAAGCATCCACAGGCAATAACCTTTGCCAATGCTAACCATAAATGACAGGTCCGTAGCACCCAGGAGGCGCACACCAAAGTGTTTCACTGTTCCTCGAGGCACCTCTTGGCAGGCAACCACCGCGGATTGGAAAACGCTGCATAGTCAACAACGGTGTTCGCGGTGGATACCTCAGGGTCTAGGGTGTACGTACCTTGACGTGAGCGGGGGGGGGGGGCTGGATCTCAGCCACAAATGAGCGGCCAATTGGGGAGGGGATCGTCGTCAGCACAAAGGTCATCTGTCCCGATGACGGCTTTGCGAGATGGTGCGACGGCGAGGTGAGCTGATGCATCGGCTCCCCGTCGTGCCCAGGGCATGTGAAAGCTAGAGCTTATCCAATTGACGTCCTCGAGTCGGCCCTGTCGATGGAGGCCCTCGAGAACGACGCAAGGTTCTGGCAAGTGGACGAATCGGCTGCTCGCTTTCATCTATCACGGAAGAATGTGTCATGGCGTGGAAAGTGAGGACAGCGTTGGGCATCCCCAGTGGAGAGCACAGGACGCCTGACCTCTGGACGCGCAGCGAAGGCTAAATCTGCAGACATGGGAGGGCAGCAATCAGCGGTCAAGCACCCCCTAGAAAAGACAAATTAGCAATAGGACGGTGAGACTGCAGGTCCCGCAGCTTATCATGTGCGAAAGCGGTTTGTTACTCACGGATTAAAGTGTCTCTGGTGAGAAGGTTCTTGTGGCACCTGTCCCGTGCCCCTTGCTCTGGGCTCGGGGTGTCGTAAGCATCGACAGTGGGGAGATAGCAAACCTGATGCAGAAGCATGCGTCCTTCCATTTAGCTGTCTAAGGCCTCGGAGAGGGTCCCCAACAGTCGTCGCCCAGATCGCGAGTTCACCGCGCCGTGGGACGAGTCAGGCTTCGACCTGAGGCTGTGCTTGCAGGTCTGGGAAATCAGCGGTCGACATCTTCTTGTCGCAGCCGTGCGCCATGGCGCCATGGATTTTGTGCTCTAGGCGGTGCACCTGGTGCTGGTCGCCGCCTCGTCGAGGACATGCATGCGGCTGAGAGCCCGCTTGAGCAATGACACTCGGCTCGCCCCTCCCGCCTCTCCCGACAGTTGTGAACGTGACTGCCAAAAATGGTGTGTCACCATCAGGCCTCGGTCACAAGCCGCATCCGCGAGGTTGTTGAGTGTTGTTGGTCCCTAGCTATTCTCGATTCCCTTTCAGCCCCACGGTGCAGCTCCCTCCGAGCAAAATACCCATCGGCCGTCGTTAACAGCGGGGCCACAAGTGCTGTGCTGTACTCTCAAACTCGTCTCTACCTGTGGATTCCTCTCTTTTCGCCCACCTGTTTACTTGGCTCCCACACCGATACGCTTGTAGCTCTAGCTGGACGGGCCTGTTTATCTCTTGGTAAGTTCCATCTGAGAGATTCGTGTCCAGCTGACATATCATGCGAACGACGTGCGCAGTAGGTTAGAGCGTTATACCACGTCTTCATTCGTCAATTGGTATCCGCCTGTCTAATTAGCCAACGACGACCGCTTTTTGGCACGTCCCGTAACTTATTTTGCATTTTGCAGACATGGACGCCCCGCGACCTGCCATGTCACCTTCTCCCGCTAGCGTCGACTTCCCTGTCCTGAAGCAGAACGCTGCGGTGAAGCCGAACCCCCATCCCTACGCCATTCGAACCACCTCCACCGGCGTTCTTACCCGTTCCAACTCGTCAGGGCACAACGCGGCTGCCGGGAAGCACCACTATGTTCCATTGCTTGCCAGCCCTACTCGCAAACGGGAAGACCGTCTTCACCGCAAGCATTCAAAGTCTCTCGATATCGAGGGATCATGCTTTGACCTGAGCCCTCCCCAGCCCCTCCCCGTCCCCGCGAGCTTCCTGAAGAATGCCTCCCAAGAGCTTTCCCGCCGAGCCATCGCTTGACCGTGGACCGATCGAGCTGTGGGGAGTCCTGGTCTTCGACGTCGCTCGAAGAGCCGAAACTGCCGCTGCGCTCGAAAGACTCGATCAGGCCACGGACGCGTCCGCGCACCTTGCGGCGTCTCGAGACGCCGAGGTCCTCTTCGTCGCTGGTCAGCTCCGCGGAGCTCGCAGACGAGTACGAGTCGTAGATGGGAGAGAACGGTTGCGAGGGAAGCGAGGCAGCAAGTGTGCCTGACGGAGGCGAGTCCTGGCCGGCACCCCAGATCCTGCCCTTCAACACATTCTGGCGGAGGTTGCGCGAGGCGACAAGCAAGGCGTCGCGCCAAGAGACATCGATGCTCATGCTGCATATGTGCACGCATACGGTGAGGACATAGTGCGTGTGTTCGTAGTAGAATGGCGTACCTCGCCATGTCTTCCTCGTTCAGCCTGAGGAAGATGCGACCGCTGATATTGGTATCCTGGACGAACTTGGCGATGTCTGAGATGGCTGAAGCCGAGATCGCAGGAGCATCGCTGGCGTCTGCTTCTTGAGCTTGTAGGACAGAGAGCAAATACGAAGCAAGCTGCGAGGGCGTCCAAGATTTTGGGTTGGTGGGAAGGCTATCAGCTTCGACGGATGCCAAGAAAGTGCCGTCTGACGTCAGGGCGGTCGGGAGAGTCTCTGCACGACGGCGCACGAAACGAGGCCCCTCGTCATGCGTGTTTCGTCCCCGAGGACGCGATGGTGCTGTCCCCCACGTCCCCGACGAAGAGTCTCATCAAGCTCGAGCTGCCCCTCGAGAAGTCTGGTCGGCCGCCCGCCGACTTTGTCGAGGAGCCCTCAGTTGAGGTCCTTCTCGCCGAGACCGAGGCAAAGTCTGTCGGAGTGCGGGCGTGGGAAGCGTTCGACACGGATGCCTGCGTCACCGTCAAGCGTGTCCCCGAGCCCGCGGCGGAGGACGACGCTCAGCGCATCGTGGACTTGACTGCGGACCCTGACAAGAAAGTCCGCTCGCTGCCCCGTCACACCCTCCTCATCAAGCGGAAGCAGGAGCGCCGAGTCGTGACTGCTGTCTTCGCTCCCTCGTCCGCGGAGCCTGCGTCACCAGTGGACAAGTCTCTGGCTGGCCCTGTTGTGGCGCAAGACCAAGCTGTTCAGGCCACGGCGGGGAACAAACCCGAGGACAGCGACGCGTTGGTTCTGCTGACGGCGGAGTTGAAGGAGAGCCGTCTCTTGGTCGAGGACCTCACGCGGCGCCTTCACGACGTGGAGTCGAGGAATCTCGAGCTAGAGAAGCTCGTCGCGGCCCAGGAACTCGAGCTCACGAAGGCTCGGGACGTTGCTGCTGTCGAAGTTCGATCCCCAGGTTCACAAGCGTGCCCCCACTGCCGTGCGGACACGGACCCCGATACCCGTCTGGATGAGACCACCTCCCCTTCGACGTCTTCTCTTCTTGCATTCAGCTCGTCTTTCTTGCCGACAGCGGTGAGACAGGCTCTACCTGCTACTTTACGCCCGTCAGGCACCGGCAACAGAGAGGACACGCGTCGACGTAGGCGGCCACCTCCTGACGAGCTATCCACGATGTCTGATATTCCTCAATACGCCCTGCTCGTCGGTCTCGGTGTTTGCGTCGTTGTCCTAAGGCTGATGCTAAGAAAGCCGCCGGTCGCCGTTCGTGACGGGAAGTGATAGGACCTTCTCGGTTTACTTGAACTTCTTCTCTGTTTTATTAAAGCCTTACAACATCTCTCACGACGCCGCCACGACATCTTACGACCCCATTACGACCACTCATGATTGCTATGACCCTGACATAATGATGTTATCTAGACTGTAGCCACTTCATGTATTGATCGGTGTGTCTAGGTCGCGTATACATCAGCCCGCTATGCCGTATACATCAGCCCGCTATGCATAATTTGCCGGAGAATTCATCCCAGCGTCCAAACGTCTTGGATCAAGACCTCGCTGCTGTCTGAGATCGATCAAAAAAGAGTGCCTGAGCGCGAGTTCGTCATAGACTGCGATGTGCCAACATTAGCTCAGGAAGAACGACAGAGAGTACGGCTTACATAATGGTCATCAGCAAGTAGCCCACGGTCGAAACCACCTAGAGGGATGGTGCTTAGTGAGGACTCGCGCTATATGCAAACGATACTCACCATTGTAGCGATGATACTCGCAGGAACACCGTTCTTCAGGAAGTCAATATTGGAGAGGTACAACTGCCCCATATCATCCTCTTGGGTCGCCCTATGGACAGTCAAATGGTATGAGAATGTACCGGAGGGAAAGGGCACGGTAAGACATACGCGGTTTGGTTCGGGAAGCCTGAGACTGGCATACCCATGCCGGTCGAGCAGATGAGAGCGGTCAGGAAAATCAACAGGTTCTGCGGGTTGCCCGGCAGGCTGCTGCTAACCTGCTTGGCGATGGGCACCAGAAGCAGGCTCGCAATTGTGTGGCTGATGAATGTAGACACGACCTGCGAGACGTTCAGCTGGGCTAGAGAAGAGCCGCAAAGAGGACGCTCACCAGCACGATGACGGAGAGCACCAGGACAACAGTGTACAAAGACAAATCTTCGACCATGTGGCGGATAATGTTGTCCATCACATCGAGCAGCCCGCTTGACGTGACACCTTTGCCTAGTGCGATACCGCCCATGGCAAGGAAAACGACTGTCCACAAGAACTGATCAAAGTCATCCTATCGGTTGTTGATGAGCGGCAGCATGTGTTGGAAGTCCGTGCAACGCACCTTATTGAGCACCCCAGTCGAGAAGAACGCTACAATAGGAATTAAGGCAATGACACCCATATCGCCGACCCATTCCTCAATCTCGTGTTCCACACACCATAGAGCAATGGTGACAATGCAAATGAAGCACACCCAATACTGCTTGGCTGTGAAAGGATCCCGCGTCGGTCTGATGGGCCTGATCTCGATATCACCCTCGCCATCAGGAGAGCGCGCTGGACGATAGCTCACGAGTAGCAAAAGCCAGATGAGCACTATCGAGATGGTAGACACGGGGAGCGCCACGGCAAACCACTTGGCCCAGTCTACTTTCTCATCCATCTCATTAAGTGCGATCAAGTTCTGAGGCGAAGAGATGGGTGAACTTTGACCACCGATGTTTGCAGCCAGGGCAATTGCGAGCTAAAAGTATTGCCTTTCTTCAGTTCAAGATGAGCTCCCCTGTACCTAGAAGCACTCACGATCAAGCAGGGTGCAAAGTTCGACCTCGCAGGGAGCGTCCTCAGGATCGGCTTAGGAAACTGTCAGCCCCGGACGGGGTAAACATCTGAGGCGGAAGCATACCTTGATGAGGGTAAAGCAAAGCGTCGGAGCCGCAACATTACTGATCCACATACTCGCGAAGCATGCCACACCCATGAATGCGAGCAATACTGTGCTTGGACGAGTCCCCGCAAGCGCAAGAACGCGAGTGATAAGCACCTTGTCGATGTTGGTTTTGCTGAGCGCTGCCGCAATTGTGAACCCTCCAATAAGCAGCATGATGGTTGGTGTGAACATGACTGAGAATATCCACCTAGAATGCGTTAGTTCACAGATAAAAATGTCACGAACACGTGTACTTACTTCGTGGCCTCCGGCGTGGAAAGGCGCTCCCCGTCATTTTGTATGACACGAAGACAGACCAACAGCAACGGGATGAGCATTGAGGTGACGAAGAGCGGAATTGCCTCGGTAGCCCACATTAACGTAGCGAAGACGAGGATCGCGAAGCATCGGTTGGCCGCTATTTTGTCGATGACCGTGACGTTCAACAACACAATGAATGTAACAATCGCGACCAACAGGGAGATATGGTTTCGCTTGAACTTGATCCGTCCGACGGGCGTGGAGATGTCTAGTAGTCCTTTTTCCGGCTCGAGGACAAGTGTTCCTCCGAGAGCACGTACAGTAGCGCTCTCTTCACCTCGTCTCGCATGGCCGACCATCTGTCGCCAGACAGTATCGCGCTCCCAGGCGATGTGCTCACGTTGGTTCATCTTGAGCTGGCGCTTAGCGGTTGAGAGATCCCCTCGCGTGACGCATCTTGTGTAAAGCTGGATAAGGGTGTCAATTGCGTGGTTCAACTTGTCCTTAGTAGCTTGTATGAAAGGCGGGGCTTGTTCGACTACATCATGGATGTAGTGGTCTTTTAGCTGCGGCAAACGTTAGGACGAAAGGCGGAAGATCGTGATTGTTACTAACATTACTGTCGGTGAGCTTATCATATCTGATGCCATAGATTCAGCCGCTAAATCCAAGGAACGGCTAGCAGGAAACCTTACTTCTTGAGAATCTTACGGAAACCCGTGTAGTTCAGCTCAACGTAAGATCTGAGCGACGTGAGGGAGAGATATAGATTTGCTATCCTCCGCTTGAACAGTAGCTGGATATCCATTGCGTAGTTATTACGCGCAGTCCATACCGTCTCCGGGGCCTCCGAAGCGACACTGCCCTTTCTGAATAGCTGTGTAGCCATGGCACGAGCTGAGCGGATGGGTGAACGGCTAGTGCTCTTGCCTCTGCCTGCTGGAGGCATGAGCTGCGATGATTCCGAAAGTTCTTGTTGATGTGCTTGCGACCGCAACGAAGCAATGCTAGCCTCAAGATCCATATGGTCCTCGTTGGACGAGAGGCTGTATCTGCGGTTACCTGCTTGCCGGTCTTGTCTCCTATTGCTGGCTACTTTGGGTTATCTCAGTTTTCGAGTTTATCAATCATGTCAAACCACATACTCATCCCGCGGGCATCAGACGAAGACCTATGCCTGCGACCGGTTGGCGAGCGTGACCACGAAGGCTCTGCGCTGTGCATGTCAAAGTCGTCTTCGTCCTCGTCTTCATCCTCATCATCGTAGCCATGACTCTCATACTGGTGTCCTACGTCCGGTCCGCGGTCCTCCTGCTGCTGTACCAGACTTTGCAAGCTATCAACTTCCTTCAAGAGCTCTGACTCTTGCATCTCATAGAAGAGGCATATCTTCTTTAACTCGCGGTCAAGAAGGGGTATAAATAGCGCATCCGTTGAGAGGTGATCTTGACCTTGAATGAGAGAAGTCTGCTCATTCGCTTCGAGGTCATGGGCAGCATCCCGGAAGGTAACAGTCTGCTTCTCCAGCTGGTAGATATATTTCTTGAGCGCGTCGTAGCTTTGTAAGGTCCATAAGCGTTCATTTCCATTGTATAAGAACGACTTACTTGATGTATTCGTCCCACCACTCCGACACCGCATTGAACTTCAGAGATGAGCTACGCGGCGTCAGACGGGTGCTATGGGACAGTTTCTTAATTACGCACCTGAACTTCATGGCGAAGGCCCCGAGATCCGGATAGGCTGTGTTCTCGCGACCAAGAGGCCTGAGCGGTATGTATTCCTCTGCTGGCCGTGACGTATTGCCTACGGTAACGCTCTACAGGAGCGCAGTCCGTTGGCGAAAGTCGTCGTTAGCTAGACCGACGGAGACGACACCATTAGCTTGATGCATATGCTTATAATTCCCTGTTACCCACAAGACTTGCAAACTAGAAGGAGCGTCTGAGCAACCGAGACTGAAGGGGTGCGGTTAAGTGCGGGCGAAGGCATGGACTGCCGACTAGGCGCATGCCGGCGTCGGTGATGCGATCAATGACTACTTAAAAGCCTGAGCGCGCGCTGAGCCATTCTCTCATTTCCCCGCGTCATCATGAATTTCTTCAGGTCATCCAAGCCCATAGAGCTCCCAAAGCACAATTGCGTGCTCCCGCATGCTCTTCGTGTTCCATCTCTCGAGAAACTAGTCGGAAAGCGCGTCGTGTTGGCATCAAACAGCCCACGCCGGAAAGAGATCCTCCGCACGGTTGTACGTGACCATCCGTGGTCTTGCGACTGCTCGTCTCCTATGTTAATGACAAGACGCCATAGGGCCTAGAGCCGGAGATCGTGCCTTCTACCTTTGAGGAAGACCTGTCTCATGGCCAATTTGAAGACCTGCATGAGTATCCGGTAGCAACGGCTACGCACAAGGCCGTCGAAGTGTACCAGAGGCTAGTCGTATGTCATCGCCAACGGTGTACCTGTGAATAAATGTCCAATCACACATGTACAGAGCGAAAGCCCAGAGGACAGCCCTGATCTGGTTATCGCTGGTTAGTTTACTCCTCCTGTAAAATGATTGACGTAGCCGACCCTGCGATGCAGCCGACACGGTGGTCTTAACGCACCCACCGCCCGGCTTAGACTCCGTTCCTTTTGAACACGAGGGTTCTGTACACCAGGAAGTTCTGGAGAAGCCTTCATCGAAGCAAGATAACCTTCGCATGCTTCTGGACCTTAACTGTGCCATCTGCGAAGTGGTGACTGGAGTATCCCTTGTGTATCCGGTGCTTGAGGCGCCTGGCTACAAGATCAAGTGAGTTATGGATTATCTACCATACTCGACGCTCCCTGCTGATCTCCAACTTAGGTCGCTCGACGAGCGGACACTAGTGCACTTCGCTGACAACCCGAAAGAGCTCCTCGAGGCCTACGCCAACAGCGGGGAGGGCGTCGATAGAGCTGGTGGATTTGCCGTACAGGTTCGCTCGTGTCTCTATACATTGCAGGTTCCCAAGTGCGAGTGCTTATGCTCCTCTATACAGGGCCTTGGCGGGTTGTTGATCCGCAAAGTCGATGGTGACTATCAGAATGTTGTGGGTTTCCCAGTCGCGTCCTTCTTCAAGTTCTTGGAAGTTCTCTGTGAAGAGGAAGATGACTTTCTGGAAGTGTAATGAATGTGGTTGAGCTGTGCTTCACCTTACTACAAACCCACGGTATCTGCACCGCATGTATTCAAGCTAATACAGTCGCATAGTTCTACAAAGTTGTAATACTACCTCCACTACAGAACTGGTGCAGCAACATATTCTGCGCATTCGGATCTCCATCATTCCACTCAGCGTCATCCCCGTCCTCGACAAGTTCTGCGCCGTATCACGACATGTTTGGGAGTATGCACGCTGATGCGAAGGTCTAGAATATGGTCAGACAGTGCCATCAAACGATTACTGGCACTGGGTTTCCACAACTGACTCAGCTATTTTCTTGCAAGACGCGCGTCAAGCCCCGTGCTAGCAATAGCCTGTTCAATAACGGTGCGGCTACTAGGTAAACTACTAGCACAGAAGATCATGTGCAGATCCGATGCGTCTGTTTTGAGCACTTATTTCACTCTCTTCGGAGAAAAGGAGACAAGCGACGGCTGTCAGCTTACGAGGTTGCCCTCGCTTACACCCAAGCTTCCTGTGCTTGTAGCGTCGGCCCTCACGGCAGCCAAGGCTACCCTCGTTCAGCTTATGAACGTTACTCACCATGTTCAAGGTATAGAGCCTTGAGTCCCCTCCGACAACCTGGGATGTTTCGTATGGCGTTTTCTGTGGAGATAAGCCGAAGGGTTACCCGGCTACAACTGTGGCGCACCACGCATTGACGTTGGCCGCACATAGAACGCGATGTGTGACCCTATCTACCTCTACATGTCAGTCTCCACCTGTTAGAAGTGGGGGGATGTGGGCGGCTATCCCAGACACAGTCGGCAGGTACTTAGGAGTCCTTGGGATGCGTTGAGCGATGCCGGGGGTAAAATGAGTTAAATCACTTCGGACAGTCCACAAGAGCCGCAACGCGTTTCATCGCTGTGAGAAAATGTCGTACAAATGGCCATAACGCATGCATAGGTAAAAGAGATCTGGTATTGCACATGGCTATTGAGTTTCGCCCTCAGGGCCAGTGGGAAGAGGGGCGGTATCCGAATTGCGAGAGAGTGCCACCAGTCGCCTCTCTAGGTTCCCCGACACGTTCTCACAAATTTGACGATACATATGGATAGTGTCCAAGTCTAGAGAATACCTCGGCAAGTCAAGCGACGACGCCAGGAGGGACTGTTGATATTTCGTTTGAGTAAGCTGGAGTCGTGATGAGCTTCGACCGCGTCAAGCTCCCAAATCGATACATACAATTTCAACCACTCGCTTCGCCGTCTCCTCCTTCATATAGCAAGCGAGGATGGTGAGCTTATTTGGTTGGTTCAGGTCGGTTGCCCACTTGACTAGTTGCCCCAGCGTCGCGTTATATTCGTCGCGCTGATTTTGAGGGATATATCGACCGTCGCGAGGTGTTATTGAAGTTATTTCAGCGGCGGACAGATTGATGCACGTCATACCAATACAGCTTACCACGCGAGAGATGCTCAGTGGTGTCCATCTCGAACTGATTCACCATCCGGGCTGCCTTCTGCAAGGTTTCTGGAGAAGGTCGACGAAGGGGGGGCTGCATGTTCAGGACGGCATTCTGCATAACTGAGATGAAAATCGTCCGCTAAGAGTTACTAAGAAGCCGCTGATCATGCATCATGAGTGGGAATTGGCCAGTGCACCTTATTATCCAGAGTAGGTCAGGAGACAGTTGAACAACGGTGGATGCGCAGAATAAACCTATTTGAGGTGAGTGATATTTGTAGTAGGCGAATACATACATAAGACATTGTTTAGGTATTACCCTTGTTCTGGCCACGCAAAGGTGAAAGACAAGGGGTCATACCAACAGGGAACGGTCTAAGTGGCGTTCGCTTGTCCTGGCGATAGGCGTATAGCAAAAAAAATAACAGTTGGACCTCGGTTTTACGCGTTGCCTTATTCTAACACTTCTTGAGAACATAGCAAATAACTTCCTTGCGCAATGTGAGGCCCCTCGATCGAAAATTAATCTAAGTCTTCAACAAATGCGGTTGTCGGCACGTAAGCAGTCGTACCCGAGTGGTAAATCGAAGAAAATTCCTGGCCCTCCACGCAGTATCCGACGTCGACTTCGACTTACATGATGCTCAAGAGCATTATACAGGTCTCCTCCCGTGAAGCTCGAGCGCGCACGGGGCCGCCAGCGGCATACCCCGACTGGCGCTTCCCGATCGACTCCGCGGCCTCGGCGCTAAAGTCGATATTGTGGGTCCTCGCACTACCACTACGCCGGGAGCCAATTCCGGCAAAGCTCAGCGGAAACAAATATACAACCAGGGTGGGGGCTACTGTTTATGGCTCGCCGCCTGCTGATTTGTTTTGCCAGCTCAGTCTTCGGGGTTCTTTTTTTCGAACTCGTAGCTCGAAGACCCACATCGTGCCGTGGTTAATCACGGCTTTGCCGTTCGTCGCAGCATAGCATCGCGCGAGCGGCGCATGAAGCTCCATAGCTCTCGATCTGCGGTAGCATCTTTCGTTAGGAGTCGCCGCCCGGGTGTTTCAAGCCCGCTATCTTACCTCGTCGATGTTCCGTGCGCCACCTTGGCCGGCCGACTCAATTCAATGCACCTTACCCACGTCATTTGCGACTTATGCCGGTGACGTTGTCGGCTGACCAAGACAGCTTCGTCTGAGACATGACATAGACGACTCGCCGAAGGTATAAGAGAGGAGGATCCTCGAGATTGCCCTAGGCGACAGCGTTGCCCCTCACGAGTCCCTACCTAAGATAGCCTCACCTTTACTCTTCGCTCCGTCGCGTAACTCACCATGGGCTCCCTCGACCACAACCCGCCCAACGCTCAGATCCATATCTCCAACCATGGTACTAATTGGTTGTGGGCCGTTTTTACGATCATGCTTCTATCGATGTTAGGCATGTTCGCTTGGTCGTATACTGTGAGCACTCTCGCCCTTTACTAACCCCTAACCGAGCTTCGACACTGATTCCACTGTTTTCATACTAGCGTCCTCGGGGCAACCGTTTCTTCCACAACATTGCCCTTATAATCCTGCTAACCTCCACTATCGCCTACTTTGCTATGGCATCCGATCTCGGCTCTACCCCTATCCAGACGGAATTCCGCGCTCAGGGCACGCGCCAGATTTGGGTGAGATATGTTAGATATTGCATGCCAAAACAAAAATCTCATCTCCCTGTTCAGTATGTTCGTTATATCCAGTGGTTCATCAATTTCCCACTTCTCCTCATCCTCATGCTCTTCGCCACCGGTCTGGCCCTTACCGAGATCCTGACGACGGCATTTTTCGCTTGGGTTGTCGTCGTATGCGGACTGGTGGGAGCATTGGTTGCATCAAGTTATAAATGGGGCTTCTTTGTCCTGGGTTTGTTTGCTCTGTTTTATATCTGGTACGTGTTCTGTAGCGCCACTTTCGACGCTTGCTAATGTCCACGTCCACTAGGACCGTCCTGCTTGGCCACGGACCACGCTCGAACTTTAACGCAGGCCCTGGTATGCGCACGGGTTACATTCGCGGCTCAGGGGCGATTGCTTTCCTGACGATGCTCTACCCCATCGCTTGGGCTTGCTCTGAAGGTGGCAACGTCATCTCGCCGACGTCCGAGATGGTCTGGTATGGCGTGCTCGACCTGCTGCTCGGCCCGTTCTACCTCTACTATCTCATCTTCACCCTCCGCAAGCTTGACTACGGCGCGTTTGGCCTGCAGTCGTGGAAGTACAGTGACACATATGGTTCCGGTGCGGGTACGGGCTCAGGCAACGTCGGTGCGGCTCCGGCCACCGCTGGCACCACTACAGGTGCACGCAACGCGAAAACCGCCGAGGCCGGTATCCCCGCAGCAGGGGTTGCCCCTGCTACTGCTGCCCCTGCCACCGGTGCTCCCGCCTCCACTGGCGGTCCCAACGCTGCTAACGTTGTCTAACATCGCGTTTCGTTTGTAACGTCTAATGTCTCTCGAGAATAGTGTGCTCTGGCGTACTCTGGAATGCTCTACGAGTTTGTATATATGTCACAAGTAGCTGTTATTTTAGTTGCGTTTGGAGCATCGTCGTTTGTACCTGTAGTTTTGCCTGTCTTTACTAATCGGTAAAGCTTTCTGTAACCGACCTCCGGTGTATGTAGCACGGTTGTATTATCAGTTGAACGAATGCGAAAAAAGCGGCGCGCGTCCTAATGTAGTCAAAGCTCCGCTCGACGAATCTTTCTATCCGAGATCTTCTGAGATGTAGCTTACAAATGCGCATCTTCCACGGAGTAAATGGTGTTCTGCCGGATGTATTACGCGAAAGCCAAACTATTAGACAGCGAAGCACGGTGTAGCGACTGGATGAGTGTAGATGAAGCGCGATTGTGCCGAGGATCCTGTAGCAGAAATTATGAAGTGTAGATGACTTGAGCTTCAGGATTACGCGTCGGGCACGAGCCCTAGGCCATCCTCTACGTTTTGAACGAGGTCTTCCTTCCAGTCGGGCGACTCCTCGAGCTGGTCGATGTTCGTGATGCTGCCGAACGGCACGGTCTGCACAGGCAGAGGGGGGCACTCGATCATCGTTGCGCCGAGCATGCCACGCTTCTTCTCCTTCTCTGAGTCGTCCTGGATCGTGCGCAGCTGGAGCAGGCTTTCTGGCCATGGCGATGGGCGGCGCATGCCCTCCTGGACGGGCACGGGGTAGGCTTCGACGATGCGGAAGTACTTGCCTACAGCGCCGCCGTGGTCCTCCCGGGCGGCAAGCTTGAGGTAGAGGACGTTGTTCCGGATGTTGATGAGATCGTCACTGGCGCGCACGGCCTGGAGGCACGCGGTTGTGAGAGCCGCGTTGTGAAAGCGCACCCATGTTTCGAGGCGCTGGTCGAGCTCGTAGAGGGAGAGGCCGTCGGGGATGAGCTGGCGGTCGATGGCCGAGCTGTCGTGCTCTCTGAGCGCGTTAACGAGGATGACGTTGTTGTGACAGACGAGCTTGTGCTTCTGCAGTGCGGGGCATTGAATTAGACCCTGAGCTAGGGACGTCATGAGGTGACGTACTTTCCAGTGCGCTCGCTGGCACTCTTTTGAGCAGTACTTGGAAGTCCTGCACGCGGCGCAGCTCTGGAGGGATTTTTCTTTTTCGCTAGCGTAGCAATTGCCACACTGTATGATGTGAGCAGTGAGGACACGTATAATTCTGGAGATGTACCTTTGTCGACATGATGATATAGTATTACACACGCACAACCAGAGAGCGACTGTTTGAATAATCCAAGTGTCCTAGCGACCATGTCAGATTTTGAGGATGCCGCGTCGTGCATATACACACCAATTGCAAGTCACATAGAGCGGGGGAGAAATTCAAGAGAGCCGTGGTAGGCGCTTGAAAGTCGGCGTCTCGATACATCGATTGGAGTCACGTGCCCGTATCATGTAAGTCTTGAAGGTCTTTCCTCCGCCGCGGTTTTACTCTTCAGTCGCTTTCCCCCGCTCACTCACATCGCGACGTCGTCTTCAAGCACATACCCACCCTTCTGGGCTTCCGCTTTCTCCAACCCTTCGATGTCCAACTCGAACTCAGGTACACCGCCTCCCCCCGCCCTCCAGGGCGAAGACCCATGGGCCGAGTACGAGCCCTGGCAGCATCGCCGCGTCCTCCTCCTCGTCGCTGTCCAGCGCGCCATGCTCGCAAAACCACCTGCGGGTGTCCCCGCAGCAGCTGTTGTTGGCCCCAACATCACCCGCATCCTCGAAGCCGCGCGAAACGCACCACATCCACCACTTATCATTCATGTTCGTAACAATGGCGACGTGGGCGAGCCGGACGAGCCGGGCGTCGATGGCTGGCAGCTCGTTCACGAGCCCCTCCCGCACGAGCCCGTCCTGGACAAGCTGAAAAATAATGCGTTCGCAAACACCCGTCTCGGCACCTATATTTGTCCCGAAGCAGAGATCGTCATGGTCGGCACGCAAAGCGACTTCTGCATTCGCGCGACGTGCAATGCTGCGATACAACGAGGAAATGAGGTGTTGATACTCAGAGGGGCGCATGCGACGTATGACAGGTTAGAGGTGTGGAATGGGGGCACTATCACTCCGGCGTCCAAGGTCGAGAAGGAGGTGGAAGTGCAGCTGGAGGAGGCTGGCGCAATCCTACTGGATATGAACGACCTACCTGACCTCTTTGCGGATCGATAGACGATGACTCGGTTGCTGACACGACTTGGACTCGCGGTTACCATCGCATGCAAATCTTTGTAACGGAATGTATTTACACCTGTATTATGTGGATGATTGGGGATTCGAATGTAGCATTCGTCACCTTTTATCCAAGCGGTCCTTATCTAACTGTCTCGTCAGACTGTGATCAATCCGGAAAGGTGCCAGGGTATAGCTGGAGTTGGGGTATCGTGGAGGCATCTCATGATGCGATATCTCGTCTTGGCCATGGTCATGGAGCATCATCCATGATGGCGGGAATATAAAACGTGAGGACGCCCCCAGAGTCTGTTGCCTCTCCGACGTAGACATAGAGGATCAGGCAGTGGCTTTGACATATACCTGAGCGGTCGAAGAGTCAGTCATCGTCGAGAGATCAAACTGAAGGGGCTGACACGCTATGGTCGTGGTGCACACGACGTGACTCTGGAGGAACTTCATGAAGCTTTTCACAGATATCAAGACTCCGTGCATTCGCTGCACATCTTTCTCTTCAGCCTCCGAAACTTGCGTCCCGTGTTCCTCTTGAATTTGACTCTGGCTCTGGCTTTGACTTTGGCTCCCTTTCGCCTTACCTGCACCGGGAAGTCAATCCGCAACGTTCTGTCACACTTAATGGTAAACTCTACCAAAGTTGGGGTTTGGGAGGCCTTGCCAGCAGACTTCGGTCGAGACGTTGTCGGTCCTCACCACGATCTCTAACCGGCCTGACCGATTGGCCCGTATACCTACAACATCAGATTGGGTTTTGAGGCGATCCATAACTGTCCGCAATTTATTGAGAGGCGGAAAGGCGATGTGAACCTGGCAAATAAAAGTCAGTCGAACGTGCCTTATAGTCTAGTTAAGGACGCTCACGTCTGGTTCGGGGCACAGAGGCTCAGACAATCTAGCGACATCCTGGGGCTTCATCACCTCGATTCGGACGTCCTGAGTTACACGGATATTGCGATTGTTCCTAGACTGGCCTATGATTTCAAAGCTGAGGACTGCGCGGTCGTTCTTCTTCGCCAGTCTACAGGACGTATGGAAATGGCTAGGAGCTAGAACGGTGCGATAACCTACTTCATCACAACATCGGCGTTGTGTATCATGGAAGAGTTGTTGCTGCTGTTGGGAGAACACGCAGAGCGTAGCGTCGTCAAGAGAGCCTCTGCAGACATGCTCATGCTGATTTGATTGTTCGCATTCGATTGTATACGGTAGTCCATGAAGAGTGAAGATACTTTGATTGATCTACAGAGTAGTCAGTCCTTGTATGCTTCAATATGTGAACAAGAAATCGTCGCACGTCCAGACCTGAATGCCGCCTTCATTGACCTCGCTCGCGCAGATAATGCCCATCTCCGTCTCCGTGAACTTGACTACAAATTTCTTCTGGAGCTGAGAGATTGCCTGAACCACCCCTGGAAAACCCTGAAGATAGAGCCCTGTGGCATGGATGTGTCACGTACTGTAGAAGCCCGCGACATTGTCAATAGTCGTTCGGAACCGCATTGTGCCTGTCCAACCCGTGAAAGAGCCTAGCCGCGCGGCGCGTAGCCCGCGATGCCCTGGTGACATCTCACGTGCCCGTGACATGGCGTGACGGAGACTTTGTCCTGCCGCAGCTCGTCATAAAGCACCAGCACTGCACCAGTATGGGAGAGACACGCAGAAACCACACAGAAAGGCCAAAGACGATATTCATATGCGAGGCATCGTTAAAGCAATCATCCGAGTCACTCAGGCCTGCAAGGAGCTGGGTGACCAGCACGCAGACGCCAGAAATATTCTGAAGATATCTTGCTTTTCCTCCTCTTAGGTTACTTGTTCTGCGATGTATAGTCCAATTTAGACAATGCAAATAACGTCCCCGGAAATATTCTGTGTTGCATTCTCGGAGAATCGCAGGGAGAATCGCGAGGTTCTTTGGGCAGATGCTCGGCGCACGTGCCCTGGTTGTCGTTGCGGACACGTCAGGCGCTTCGCAGGAGCGACCCGCCTTGAAGTGCTCGGTCGTGGTGATCAGCTCTCATATTCTCCTTTGCCATCCTCAGGCTCCTCTCTCCGCTCGCCACTGTGGTCGACCTCGATCAACGCTGCGACAAAACCGGCCATGGCAGCAGTAGACCGAGCAGACTCGCCGTCACTGCTTGACAAACTTGACAATCTCGTGTCTACACCGATCGCCGAATTCGATGCCTTCCCCAAGCTGCCCTCGACATACAAGGCGCGGTCTGAGGGCCGTGGCTTTCTCACCGTATTCGTTACCTTCATGGCATTCCTGCTGGTTCTGAACGACCTAGGGGAGTACATCTGGGGTTGGCCAGACCACGAGTTCAGCGTAGACCGGGACAGGTCCAGCGACCTGCGCATCAATGTGGATATGCTAGTCAATATGCCGTGCCAATGTGAGTCTTTAGCTCGAATGCCCTTGCCTCTCCGTCGCGGCGAGCTGCAGCTGTCGCCGCCGCCCCAGGTAACGGCGATGACCGTCGGTTTCATCCTATACGTGCCTCTGCTCCCATCTTGTTCGATGTCTATCTAAATGAGCCTAACAAACGTTTGACTAGATCTGAGTGTCGATTTGCGCGACGCTGTTGGCGATAGGCTATACCTTAGTGATAGTTTCCGTCGGGACGGCACACTGTTTGACATTGGTCAAGCAACAGCTTTGAAGGAGCATGCCGCTGCGCTTTCGGCAAGGCAGGTTGTTACTCAGTCGAGAAAATCTCGAGGTTTGTTCGCGACCCTTTTCCGCCGTAACTCTGGTGGTTTTCGCCCTACCTACAACTACAAGCCGTCGGGCAGTGCATGCAGAGTCTACGGATCGGTCGCTGTCAAGAAAGTGACAGGTGCGACATAATCATGTTCGTTGCGTCTTCACCATGCTAAGATCTCCGCATAGCTAACCTGCACGTCACTACTCTGGGCCATGGCTACGCTAGTCGTCAACATGTGGATCACAACCGTGAGGGTTCTACTGCATTCGCCCGCAGACGTCGTCTCAACTTAATCTCTTTGCGCAGTCATGAATCTGTCTCATGTTATCACAGAGTTCTCCTTTGGACCCTACTTCCCTGACATAACACAGCCTCTCGATAACTCGTTTGAGCTTACAGAAGACTGTGAGTGATGGAAGTGTCTTTGCTAGAAGAACCATCAGCTAATAGCAATGCACAGCCTTCGTCTCTTATCAATACTACCTCCATGTCGTTCCAACAACATACATCGCGCCACGGTCACGTCCACTTCACACGCATCAATACAGCGTAACGCATTACACACGTGTATTGAAACATAACAACGGCATTCCCGGGATCTTCTTCAAGTTCGATGTTGACCCGATGAGCCTCACGATTCATCAGCGTACGACTAGCCTTTTGCAGCTGCTGATACGGTGGGTGCTTCAGTGCGAAGCTTTGATGTATTAGCTGATATAAGCTCCGCCCTAGATGTGTCGGTGTTGTCGGGGGTGTGTTCGTATGCATGGGCTATGCAGTGCGCATCACAACGCATGCAGTGGAAGCCGTCACCGGTAGTGACAAGACGCAGGGCATCGTCGCTGCTGAGGCAACGGGTGCTGGCCGCAAGAAATGGATGAGTGGCGAGCTGCGTTCGCGCGGGACCAGGCACAGTGGCAGCGGGTGGACGGCCGACGGTGGCAGTCCTTATGGTAGCTACGCCGGCACACCTGTTACAGGTAGCTTCTCCAACGTCGGCTCACCGTACGGTTCTCCAAGTTTGTACGGCGCCAACGACGCAGCGGCGCCTGGCGCCCAACGTCCCGGATACGGCTTGGGCATCGGTTCCCCGTCATTTGGACCGAACGCATCGCCTAAAATCCCTCATGGCGCACCCGGGAACATACCAGCCGCTGCTGCTGCAGGCTCTCCCTACTCTGCCCCACCTTCGCCCTACATGCCGGCGGCATCACCTCCGACCACGGCAGGACTCTATGCCCACTTCCCACCCACGCTACATGCCCACGACGGCACCAATGGGACCGGGCATCCACACAGTCCAGGGCAGAGCCCATCAAACTTCTCCACTCAGCAAGGAGCTGCACCGCCTCGTCGAGAGAATGGGATGCGGCATTCCATGAATGGGAGTCTGGGAGCGACAAAGAAGGATGATTGATTTTATTTCACCTTGATATCTGGGACTGCATCATCATCCCCCCTTGATTGTCGTGCAGGCATCTGTTGGAAAAGATTTTCTCACCGCTGGACGTCGTAGACGTCGGAATTGTAACGCTATTCTATGAATTCATGGCTCTTGCATTCGTAATGCGCCGTTTGAATCCTATTGCGTGATGCATGGTGCAGTGACGAGCTTCGGTTATTCTGGACTCTGGGCTCATTGAGTGCTATCGGAAGCAAGATGAGACGGACGTGTACATCGTGGTGGGCTCGCTAAACAAAACTGTCAGGGGAGATGGTTGTCGAATGATAGAAGACGAGGTAGTGTGCGAAGTACAAGACTACTGGATGGCATCGTGTGGTCCTTGTTCAATACTAAAGTTCTACTTCAAGCACGGCGAGACGAATGGTCACCGGCCATTGTCTATGCTATACACCACGCGTGGCTTCAATCCGATTACGCCGCGACCCTTCCCGTCCCACCCAGGGATGGCTGCGCGACACACAGGACACCTAGAGGAAAGGAAAGAGTAAGCACAAAGCAGGCGAAGCCGTAACTCTAATGACTGCGGCACGAGACACGTTTGCCACGATCACGCGGAGGAAGGCGTGCAGGGGGGTGGCGTGACGCAGCCAAGGAGACAACATGAGAGATGTGACGCTCACTTCGCTCGCTGAGCTGCCGGGCCGTGGTAAACAGTCCGTTCGATGGTGGACTGCATCGCGGTAAAGAGGCACTCGGCACAACATACGTGGCCGCAAGGTGTCATCGTCGCGCGCGTGGGCGGCGAGAAACACACCGGGCAGACGTACGCAGAAAGATGCTCCGGGTTAGGGCGGGAAGGCGTCAGGACATCTGACGAAGAAGCTGGCATGGGAGGAGGCGATGATGCGGACCGCTTCCGCTTCTTGGACGGCCGAGGAAGTCTGGCCTCCGGCGAGCCAGGTAATGCGTCAACATCTATAGGAGACTGGGGCAGTGGTGCAGCGTTCTGGTGAGACGCTGATGTGCCCGAGCGTGAGCGTGTACGCGAGCTTGGTCCTGGCTCGTCGGCGAAGTTTTCTCGCTCAGACGAGATAACGGTCAGGCTCGTCTCCGCACGACCGAGTCTCCTGCGCCTGCGAGGGCTCGGCTCGCCGTTTGTCCGCCCAACAGAGGATGCGCGGTTCCCCATGAGGGTAGACCTGCTCCCCCCTCGGGACGGACGGTCCCGACCGGGATCGTTGACGTCGTACATGGACTGGTGTCGCGATAACGATGCGACAGTTGAGCCGTCGTCGTCAATGACGCTGCGGGGCGGGCTGTCTTCCTCAGACTCGGCGGGAGCGGCGGACACAGACCGCGAGCTGGGCTGTGAGTTGGCGGTAGCAGATCGCGACCTCGAAGCCCGCTGCTGACGTAAGTTGAGAGCGCGACGTGTCGTCGTCGCCGGAGTAGGCAACGGGTCCCTGGGTTGGCTCATCGTTTGAAAGGAAAGTTGGACGTAATTGCGCTCGGTATGTCTGATCAAGCCGCTTGTTAGCCGCTGCTGAATTAAGCGAAGATTAAGGCCAAGATTGCACGTCCGACAGATCCAGAGCTGTCCAGCAAAAAAAAATCATGGTGTATACTGACCAAAGTATGGCACAGATGGTCTGGAGCCGTGAGTGAGTGTACGATATCTTCGTTTCGCTCACAGCCTCCTGGCAGTAGGGAATTTGGAAGGCATTACGGAGATAAGCGCCTATAATGCACCGGCGCTTGATACTGTTCTCGATCGCGTCGCGCGTCTAACGGTCCAAGGCGGCGGTTTTGAGCAACTGGACAACACAACCATCGACCGCCTGAGGGCGCGCGACTTTCAAGATAAAGATATCGATGTCGCAGGCATGGTGAGTTACGCGCCATGCACCAGCGCAAAAGACAAGTCTAAAACTGCGACAACGTAGTTCGAGCTGTTATCCAGTTTTAAGCTGACCCGTGGACGTGAATAGAAGGTCCACGGGACGTACCTTGAAGCTTCTTTTCCCTCCGAGCTCCCTTCTATTGCAAACAAGTCGACTTGTGGTCTGCACTGGGTCCAGGTGGATTCAATCGAAATCGTTCCGTTGGCGCAGCCTCGAGAGCAGTCCCGCCTCTCGTTTGCCAACCTTCAAGCTTCGAAACCGTCTCTCACTCGTCCGTCTCGACAGGATCAGTCTCGCAGTGTCCATACACAGGTTGCTACATCCTGGCTGCTACGCTGTGTTACCTTTACGCATTGGTGTACTGGGCATTTGCTGCTTTGTGCTTAATGCCCCGGTGCTGTGCATGTATTGTACTGCCATGTCCCGGTCAGTCTTCTATGTCAAAGATAGATCGTTGCGCGTGCTGAAACAAGAATGCCCTACCTACTGTAGGTGCGCTCTGCCGGAACTTCCGGGGCTCCTGCGATGTCCCGACGCTCTCGACAGGGTCGGTAGACTTCTGCAACCCTAACGGGAGTTCCGGCGGCCTGCCTGGATATCTCCTCGGCAGCAACAGTCAGGAAGCTAAATTGTCGATTTTTGAACGGTGAGTTACCAACAAGGTTTCCTTGTCATCTTCTCACTGCAGGCCCCGGCGCGAAGAGCTGTCCGCATCATCATTACGCAGTCACAGATCCTTCAGGGCGGCGTGCAGGGTGTTTGTCGAGGCCCCCTCCCCCCCTCCCGAAACGGCTCCAGGGTGGGGCACAGTCCAAAACCTTCAACCTGTCTGTGCTTCTAGTGCTTTTTGCCAAGTGCCTGAGCTCACCAGATCAAATACCGCCCTATACTCTTGGGAAGCATCACCCCGCACGGACCCTATATATTCCCCTACCGGTCCGCCCCTCGGCGTGCTGGCCCAGGGAACACCTGGGTACAACGTAAGAGCATGTCTTCTCTTGCAGGCGCATCTCAATGATATGATTGTGGTACCGTAAATCTCGAACACGACCGCTTTTCGCTAGCTTCGCAGTTAGCTCATGCATCGTCGCTACCAGGATGGATCATAGCTTCAACCGTCGCGGCAGAATCGGCACGCCGCTGTGCGACCGACGAGAAGAGTTTAATTGCAAAGCGAAACTGCACCCTTGTAGCAGCGACGCATATGCGCATCAAGATGGAGGGCAGGCACCACAAAATCGTGAGTGATCGTAGTCCCCCGGTGGCTATGCTGCCCTGCTTCTTCTGTCCATGGTCCTCCGCATGCTGGTTTCGGCCTTCCCAGGTCTTCCCAGGTCCTGAATGGCGACAACCCTCGGAAAGTGTATTGATCAAGGATACAGTGTGTGAGTGAACTCATCAATTACTTTGATACGAATGTACACATGGTGCAGCCCGCCAGGACACAGAAATTCGAGCTGCCTTCGTGAGCGGGTGCCCCACATCCGATGGCAAGCACTTGCGGATTTGTGCGACCGACGTACAGTACTTATATCTAGATTTACCCCGGTTCCAATGTCCTTTTCGTATGAGCTGCAGCCTCGCTGAGCACGTTCAAGATGACCTGGTCGGTGCATGCCACCTGAATCATCTCCGTGACGTATTCGCAAGCGCGTTGATCTCGCCGGTGTTGGGTAAGCCAGAGGTCGCGCCTGGTCTTGAGTTCTGCCGCACTGACATGTCCACATCGAGCCGTGATCGAAGATGCATGGCCGCGGCTCTCCGGCGGATGCTGCAATATTGACAACATTGATCAGTCGCAACTAGGACACGAGATGGATGCAACGCCGCAGGTGCGCATCTCCTCCTTCCGGTGCCGGGTGCACAGCCCCGCGCCACGGACGACGAGGAGGCAGGGTTTGAACCATGGTTTTTGTGCGACGGATGCTGCGCCAGCAAATTTGCGAGTACACCCGTGAAGCTTTAGCCGAAGAGACAGGCGGAGCTGCGGACTCGGTTCGATGTGACAGATGGCATAGCTGTACCATGCGTCGTCGTCGACTCCGCCGACGGAGAAGGGATGAGGCCCGCACGACTCGTCGCCGGTCGCTGGCGGGTGCATTGCTCATCCGCGCATTCTTCCGGGGCGCACCTGTTGCGCTTTGGGCGGATTGAGAAGTTGATTGAAACACCTGTGGGCGACCCCTTATGGGAGCCGTATCTGGTGTGGGGTGCAGACGATCACCAGATGCAGCTGAGAGCTGTTGCCGTCACGAAATGGCTGATGTACCCTCGCCTGCTGCTTGAATGGTCCTATCAGCCGGAAAGGCACGGCACCACATGGTTACGTGACCCCAGTCCAACCGTGAGCCATGAGCTCAGCGGGGTGTGAGCTTTGGTCTGCGTAGTACGGTGGATGATGTCGGCGGCGGAGGAGGCGGCGGCGGATGATAACAAGATGCATTGTCAGGGTCGCGCTGTGGGCGCCAGGTGACCGGCGGCACGAGGAGGCCCGAGATGGGTCGATGGTCCCTCGTTGCTCTCTCCTTCACCCACGCCCTCCTTCTCGTGCGTCGGGCGGGCAGAAGAGTCTGTGGTGTGTCCTGTGGCCTGAACACCCGGATCATTACAGGTCCTTCTCGCACTGGAATCTGTCAACGCAAATCTAGGAGCACCATCGTCTTCCTCCGGGCCAAACAAATAATCTGTTGCCAGCTGCCTTCCCCAGTGGTGGGCATACAAGCCCTTTGATGCGCGGGGAGATACCATCAGGTAAGTGCCAGTAATGTACACATGCATCCAGATTTCAATTTTCTCCCAATCAGCGTCCCGTGAACCGTCCTCTTTCGGTCGTCTTGTGATGATAGACTTCCTGAGCCAACACTTTGCCGGGCGGCGCCCTGAGCAACACAGACTGGTATCGCTCACCATCAACAGAAGAATCGAAAATGAAATCGTCGCTCCCACACCCACTTTTGAACCACACAAAAGGGGCCTGCCGAGGCCCAGAGTAATCCTGACTTTTCCCGTTTGCTCTCCCCGTCAACTTCTCTTCTCTTCTGCCTCTCGTTGATACCATGGTCACCGACGACCTGCCATGGCCTGAACTCGGCAACGTCTCGCGCGGCGCCACCAGAGGCAACCAGGGCCAAAAGGGCGTCCTCGGCCTCCCAGACGGCGAGGGTCGCGCCATTCTCCAGCTGCGCGTCCAGCCCGGCGTGCTGCCCGTCAAGCTGAACCGCCAGGCGACCGAGTGGTACCGCATCCTGGACAACGAGGTCAACCGCGCGCTGAAGCTGACCAAGACGTACTGGCGCAAGGCGCGGCGGCGGCAGGACTACGACGCGCGCGCGGACCAGGACCACATGGAGCTGCACGAGTGGCTCCAGCAGCTGAAGGACAAGGTCATGTCGCACCTCGAGCTGCTCATGCAGAAGGGCGAGATCCAGGGGCCGCCGTACATCATGCCCGACAACGTCGAGCTCACCTTCCTCCGCAAGTTCATCGAGCGGCAGGCCGCGGGCATCCCCCACAACCCGCGGCTCCGGCACGGCCAGGTGCCGACCCAGTCGCCGCGCACCGTGCAGAGGTACATCGACGAGAAGCTGCTCGAGGGCAGCTCGACCTCGCCGTCCATGAGCTGGGACGCGGTGGACGAACGAGGTGCGAGCCCTAGAAGCTCGGAGACAGCACGGCGGCTCACTCGTTATCTCTTGCAGGGTCTGCTGCCTCGCCCGCGATGGGGTTCGGCGACATGCAGTCGGTCGTGTCTGAAGTCGAAACCAACCGTGAGTGCGCTCTCTGCATCCCCATGTCAGATCCGCCCTAACGATAATGTTTGAAAACAGGCAAGCAGCTGCGAAGCGCGCGAGCCGCGCTGAGTCGGGCACAGCGGGAGACACAGGAGTCATTCAAACGTTACAAATCCTGCCTTGATGTTGAAGCTGCGGCTATGCAGCAGGTGGTGGCTGCCGAAGAACGTCGGGACGCACTCAGTGAGTACAATAGAACCAAGAACGGGTGTTGTACTGATCAAAGAGCAGTGTCGTCGCTGATGGAAGCCTGTCGTCCGGACGGTAGTGAAGGTGAATAGCACGTCCGACGGCGCCTTCTGACTGGCATCTGATCGTTTACTTACGGCAGCGTCAGAGACCTCGTCGAGAAAGTCGCCGTATGCGGCAGAAGACCCGCAGGCATCTGCGGTGGAGCACGGCGAAATCAGGACGAGTCCCAAGCAGAGTCACGACCAGATATCAGGGCTGTAGTGAGTTCATCACGTTTCCCACACATGGCCCTCCGCTAACGCGTTTCACAGTAAGCCTAATGGTGTCCCTTCTCAGGAATCGGTCGGCGGCTGGAGAGCGATGAGGGAGATGCAGCAGCAGTGGGGCCAGCCCGATCCACATAGCATGGCGGGCGGCTCGGGAATGGGGGCCGTGGGCCAGGTATGTCCTGGACCAGATGTCAAGCTATACATTGGAGCTCACAGACGACCAGTCTGCATATCATTATTCGGCCGCAGCGCAAGATATCGCGATGGACGTCCAGGGGCTTGCCAGCCGCAAACATTCCCGCAGCTGGGACATGGCCCCAGGTAAGCCCGTCGCGACCTATCGGCACAGAGAGCGGGATTCTGACGATATTTGTCATACAGGGCAGCCAGAAATCGAGGTATCTAGCGCTATGTACTTTCAAATGGCGAAACCTTAATTCAATCATGCTGCTTTTTTTCGCTCAGGATTACCTACCGCCCCATAAGCGGTATCATCTCGAGTCGGGCGACATGGTGGGTGCATCCAGACCGACATCAGCGCTACGGCGCGTGTCGTTCCCATCCACGGCGGCATGACGCTGACCGTCATTCCCGTCTCTTGTCTTCCCAGTTCTGAGCGGTGCTTCGCTTTTTGTTGGTACGCATCACTATGCCTTTTACGCTACATCCACGCTCCACGGACGATCTCGTATTTATTCTGTAATGTAACCCCTGGCTTTCGCATTGCTATCAGAGCTGTGTATTTATCATTTCTTCGTCATCTACGTCATGTCATGTACCCAGTTGCAGCTAGTCTTTTATGTATTCGAATTGCCGACGCATCTCGGCACTCTGATGTATGTCTTCAGCTCGCGAGTCGCGAGCCAATAGAGCATCTTTCGGAGCTTACGTCTCTAACAGATGGGAGGTCGCGATAGTCGCGGCGCGTAGCCGGTCACCGTAAGCCGTGGGATTGTTCGAACGTTGTTACATACAGAGTAAGTGGTACCATCGATGGGAGCTGTTCTGTTCGATGCTGCTCTCCACTTATTTCGCCGGCCAGGGAGGAATCCGAGGTTTGCGGAACTCCCGGTTCTGCATCCTCGACATGGCTGCGACTTTTTAAAATCGCACAGTAGCCTCGGCTGTGTAGCCAAGACCAACCAAGGTACGGGTGCGGTGTGGACCCCGCCTGATGTCACCCTGCAGCCGAGGCAACCCTTGTTTCACCGCACCTGACAAGGCTTGTGGCGGGTCGTCATGTATGCCATCTCTCATGTGACGTCTTGATTGCTTTGCAATGATATTTCTGGCTTTACGGAACGCTACAGGACATTTGCATACGAGTCTAGAGACTGGAGTTTTATGAACTGCTTCTGCCTAGTGTCGAGGCTGTCAGCTTGTTCCAGGCCCTCTGTTTTTCCCTGCATGTACTGGTACACTGCCTCTTGAAGAAGTTGCGTTGATCTCTGACGTATTATTGATATGTTTGCCACCGGACGATCCTCAGGCAGATGTCGTAGCGCGGCCACCGAGCATGATGTGTGTCGCGGCACTGGACACGGTGAGCTGGAGCATGCCGTCGAGCAAAAGTGCGGTTGTTGCAGCGATCGAGGTTCGCGGCCAACCTGCGATCGAGGCCTCTGAGTGATCGACGTCGTTGTAGACTCGATCTGAGATCCAGGGTCGATGTCTAAATGGCCCGACGACCAGCTTCCTTGCGCCTGCCACCTCCTTGCTGCCACCTTTCTTTGCAGAGACAAAGCCACAGTTCGCGTCTGGCTTGTGTGTGCCCAGCACTTTTGAGGGTGCTAGTGGTGACCGCCGATGGCAACGGTCAACGCCAGGTCCAGGCCGCACACGACGAGCAGCCTCGGAGAAGACCGCCAGGTGTTCGAAGCGAGTCTGCGCTGGCAGGGGAGGCGGGCGAGCGTCGGCGACGTGGGACGATAGATTGCCCAGGAGGTGCGTCTGTCGCTGTTCATAAGCCGTTCATGTACCTCAAAGAGCACGCGGAGAATCCACGGAGACCACCGGCGTCGGGCCCAAATCACGACCGCTGCAGGCTTCGGCGGGCGGATGCTTCCGGCCGCTTAGGTAAGCGCTATCTAGATAGAGCAGGTTCGCCGGACGCCTCCCGGGGGAACGAGGCAGGCTGGGACGGGCTCGTGTCTGCAGCGTGTTCGTGGTGAGAGCTGTGCATTTGAAAACTGGCGCAAGGTGAAAATATGCCCCTCACCTCTCTGCCCATGGCTATGCTCGCCTCGTCACCCCTGCCGCAGGATTGCTGCCCGCCTCGCACTGGATGACTCCCTCGCTGTCCTCAACTCAGTGTTTCTGCCACAGCCTTTTTCTCTATGAACTCCGGGACAGGCTATTGTCGTTCCGGAGGACCCTTCATAAGAGCGGAAGGTCCTCCCGTGTGCTTTGCACTTTTTAGGCACCGACAAAGAGCTTGCATTGGGAGCTTTTTGGTTACGCGCGTGGGTCTCACGTGCAGTTTCCTGGTTCGTATATTCTGCTCGGATTCCCCTCATTTCGCCTTCTCCGCAACCTCGATATAAGCCGCTCGCCAAGAACTCGTCTCTCTTCTGCCGACTTCTCCTCAGAGCCCACATTTGAGCCATCAGCTCATTATCCAGAGCGTTCCCAAGCACCCATCGCACCAGAGTTCGTCGATGTCGGGGAGGTACAAGAGTGCGTCAAATCCATCGCTATTGTCTTCAATCTCCTCCATCTCACCTTTCCGTCTCCAGAGAAGTTTTGCAGGAATTATGCACTCGGTCACTGTCCACAAGGTGACCAGTGCAAGTACCTCCACTCGAATAATATCCCGATACAACCCACCTACCCGATGGCGCCCACAATGGTACGCCGCACATCCCTCCGTTGACAGTCGTTCCACCTGTACTGACGGCCTTTATGCAGGCCAGACCTCCCGTGTTCAACCCCAATTTTTCCTTCCCTGCGATCGCCACCGGTATGCCTTTCGGCTGGCCCGCCATGTCGCCCCCACCACCGACCGCAGAGGCAAGCGGGTACAACTGGAGCTTCCCGTCCTTCTCTCCTCCACAATCGGCCACATCGTCAGGACACTCTCAGCCATCTCAGTTCCGCCCGCTCTCGTGGAGGACGACGCTCTGCAGACACTTTGCAAAGAACCAAGGCTGGTGCCCACTGGGCGACGAATGTGGATAGTGCGTACTCACAGCTCCTCGGGAACGAGGCCGCACAGTCTGACTCCTCTGCGCAGCATCCATGACTTGTCTCTGGCCGCCCATGTAACGAACGATATCAGGTTTCCAGATGGGTCTCGGCCAGGTGACTCGCGCGCCGGAAGCAAGCATAGCCACTGCTGGGCCTATGTGCAAGGGCTCTGCCGAGTCAAGGAGTGTCCGTATCTCCACCCAGTCGCAATCACCCTGTGTAAGCTCGCTGTTTCTCCGCAAATGAACCTTCGGAATAATTTTATTTTCCCAGTTGTGCCGCATACGCCTTGCCTCGCCTGGCCAAACTGCACACGCGGAGCCCTCTGCGCGTACAAGCATCCGGAGCCGCTGATTCCCAAGGTTGCAGAGCTGCAGGTGTCTCCTCCTGCGCCGGTGCAGCAACCGCAGCCTCCGTCGCCAGTCCAGGTTATACCCACAGGCACAGTTCAGTTCCACGGCACGACCTACTTCCCCGTGCAGCGGGGAGCCCAGCCGACGCAGCTGCCTCCTGCTCTGCCCAGCTCGCCGCAATATTACTACTCACCCGCAGGTCGGAGCGTCGGTTCCGGGTACTCGCCCTATTCTCCCGAGTCCCTGACCTTCCATTCGCCCTACTACGAGGCCGTCAGCAACTTGCCGCCGCAGACGGCCTCTGCGGTGCCCCGTGCGTTCACTGGCCCCGACCTGGACGACATACACCGCCTCGCAGGCATGCCCAAGTCCACGCTGGCGCCGATACCCGAGCCCGAGAGATCCGTGGCAGAGGGCCACATGCGCGACGGTGACGCCAAAGCCGTCGTCTCCGCTGTCGCGGCGGGCGAGGAGTTTCCGTACCACCCGCCGCCGCCTGGCACGCAGCGCGGGCACGCGCGGCGCGTGAGCGTGACGACGAGGAGGAGCAAGGAGGACTCGGACGCAGACGCGCACGCGCTGCCGCTGCCGCCGCGGAGCACCCACCGCGAGAGCTGGATGCACCACCGGCAGCGCGACGAGCCTGCACACAGGGTGAGTGGTCGCCTCGCGCGTGCCTCGTGCCTCGCTCGCATCACTGATACACGTTTCTCCGCACAGAGCTGGCCGTGGGCCCCCGACGCCTTTGTGGGCTTCGCGCCCCAGCAGCACAGCCTGCAGCTCATGCTGTAGAGGGCTGTCTCCCCGCGCACACACGCCACGTTGTGTGCACGCGTGCTACGCGGCCACCGGCAGGTGATCCCTGCGTCATGCAACGAGGCGTGCCGCCTCGTTCCGCCGTCACTGGCTCCCTCTTCCGCTTCCAGGACTTCGCTCTCGGGCTCCACGACTGCCTCATGCATCCTCCCGGATACCCACACGACCCACTGACGACCCGCCGTTATCGCATGCTCCCCGTACACTTGTAGTTTTTTCTTTCTTTCTTCCTCTCATGCTCATCTCGGTTCGCTTCTGCTGTCATGTACTCTCATGGATTTCATTTTCCCTGTACAACTCGTATACTAGAGCTGCGGCTACCTGTGCCTTCCCCCCCTTCTCTCACACGATACACGCACAGTCCCTCATGTACCGGTAGTTAATTTCTTTCCGCATATCCCCACCGGACTCTTGGATATCTGTCTAGTACCATGTAGGCCGCGCACCCTCATTCGTGCTGTAAATTTTTTTCTGGTGCCGACGTCCCCGCGCGCGCGCAACCCTGTCGGGCATGAACGCCGTCCGCGGTCCCCAGACTGAGCGCAACGCTTTGAGCCCACATCTGCAAGAGCGTTCTGCCGGAAGCCGGTTGCGAGTGCCCAGCGCTCGCCGCGACCCTTGTCCCATTGTGGACCTCAGGCGCAACGTTTTGCGCACTGAGACTCAAACCGGCCGCCGCTCGGAAGAGGAAAGAAAAACCATGTCTGTGCGAGTCGCTCCGCAGCGTGCCTGCAGGGCCACTGCCAGTAGCTAGCAAGTTGCTGCGCCGTCGCCAAGTTCGTACCGGAAATACGCGAGCGGCTGGGCGCATCCCGGCGTGTACAGTAGCGTATACAATAACAAGCCCACTCTAAAGACCTGAGACACCACCGCTCGCGTCGGGCCCTATGCGAAGCCGCGCGAGGCACATGAAGAGCCCACACGCGCGCACCTGCGCAAACATCGCACGAAGCCTATCTAAGGCTATCTTGCATACAGTCCCCGTGCGCGCACGCGTGGTCGCATGCCCAGGGTTGCCACGAGCGAGTGGGGAGGCTAAACCGGACTCGGCGAGTTCTCGCGCTTTGGTCTGCTTGGTCTCCAGGTACGGGTGCGCGGAGATGAGGGCGGCCGGGGAAGTGTGTGGTGCGAGAAGTGTGTGGTGCGGGGCTTCGTTGCCTTTCGTTGCCAGCCCCGGTCGTTCGGGGCCCAGGAGCTTGTAGAGTTCGGTGATAGAACCTATCCTCGCTTGTACATATAGACTCGTATTCGTATACTTACGTACTGCCACAATGGTCCTAGGACATACCGCACAGCAAGGCTTATTCGAGCAGAAGTGTGGTCCGTTATAACGCAGCGGGACAGGTATATAGATACACGGGTACGGAGCAAAATGTATAGGACACGACAAATGGAAGAAGAAACAGAAGAACATTGAGAACGCCAGACCGAACTGAAGGGTAAATGAATTGAAGAAAAAAGACCAAAATGAGCACAGATGGAGGGATATGATGGTGCAAAGCAAAGCCACGAGCGATGTGATGGAGATTGCATGTATGTACGAGAACAGCGGAGGGGTGAGTTGCGTGTAGGGGTATTGTGATATGCAGCAGATCCGGGGAGACCGATAGACGTGGACAACTGAGCGGGAGAAGAGTGAGTGTTCCGATCACGAGAAGGGATGCTTTGGGAAAAGCCACCAGGAATTCATTGCCACATTGCACGCCACGCTTCGCGGTCGCGTTGGGCAGCGGCACAGAGGTGCTCGCGGGTGAGAACGCCGCAATGGCTGGGGTGCACATGACCAGGAGTCCCGCGCTTGAGGTCCGGCAGGAGCCACTCGCGAATGTTCTGTGCTCGGAAGCTCGACAAGCGGGGAAGCTCTGGTGTGGACGAGATTTGGATGGTGCCGATTAGAGCGGGCGGCAACGGCGTCTCAGGCGGAGGTGAAGACAGAGGAAGCGAAGGCTTTTCGGCCTGCTCGCAGGTCACGTCCATGATGGTCTCGTGCTCATCTGGCTGGATAACGCTGGGATCGCAATCCGACCCTTCTTCGTCTTCGTCAGCGTCTGAGTCCGAATCCCAGTCAAGTTCGAAAGACATGTCTGCTTCCTCCTCGAGCTCAGACTCGCTCATTTCCCGCTCAGCCTCATCTTCGTCGTCATCGTCTGACGAGAACGTAGATGGCGTGTATATCTCCATCGGCAGATCTTTGCACGCGGATGATGAATCAGACCGGTTCGCATTGGCAATGTCTCTGGGCGAGTCACTGCAACTCTGCGGCTGCTGTTCAGCCTGCTCGAGTTCCTTCTTGGGCTGCCCAAGTATTTTTCGGAGCGTGTCCCACTTTCCGCACAGGCCTATCCTGCAAGATGAAAGAATTCGGGTCAGCAACTTGGTACAGCCTCAGTGAGACATTAATGACTATGCTGTGGACCCGTCGGAACACAGAATTTGGATAGCACTGAGCACGAGGCGTCCACAAAGGACACCGATCCATCCGATTAGCACTGCCATCATGCCATAGCCCTGGCAGGCGCCCGAGCGCCTCGGGAGGACATTGGCTATTTGGTACAAATGCTGGGCACACCAGTGCCCCACCACACCGTGGTGAGACACCACCTCGACGGCTTTCGGTGGTATACCGACTGCGACGACAGGAGAAAAAGGGCGCACGGGTACTTACACTCTGCCCACGCGCTCCTTGCAGGCGACCATCCACAGTGAGTCCTGTCTGCGTCTTCTTTTTTCAGGCTGCGTCGCCTGGTTGTGGGTTTGGGGCTCCGCCTCTGCTGCAAGCACAGGCTGGGGCTGCTCGGGGATGATGTCGATGCCTTCGACGGCGACGACCGGTGGCGGGACGACGGGGGTGCTGGGGCCCGCGACAGGTGGTGACGAGACATCATCCGAGAAGAAGCTTGGGACGGGAGTTTGCTGCCACGTCTGGGAGGCAGCGTCCTGGGGGAGGGCGTCTCCGAATGCCGAGAGGACGAGTGGCGGGTTTGAGTGTGACGGGTACTGGATATCGAGCTGATCAACAAGCGATGGGCCGTCGACGGCCATCGGGACAGGCTCTGAATGGGCGTCTGTTGGGAAGACATAGAGTGCCGCGGCGATGGCCTGTTCGATGGCAATGTCAAAGGGCGATTGTTGCGGCGCATCAGCTGGAGGAAGAGAAGCGGTGGGTGAGTGTGATGAGGGGTGGCTGGATGTGAGAGTCAATCGCACCTTGTGGCGGCGTGGCCAGTGGGCCGAAGAGGCCCTCCTGCTGGTCGCTCTTGGACCTCTTGATGGAGCGGGGGGCATCGGGGTCGCCGTCGCCTGTGTCGGCGGGCTTACGCTTTGTGGCGAGGCAGTACTCGGGCTCGTGTGGGAGGAGGACAGGAGACAGCGTGGGAAGGGAGGCGACGGCGGCGGCGACGACGGCGCGGGGGAGGACAGCCCTGGGTGTGGCGAGGGGATCGGGGGCACTGCGATCGGCGGTGGGGAGGCCGATGGGCTGGGACTGTGGCTGGCGAGGGACAAATACGGTCATGGCTTGCAAGGCAAACGGAGAGGGAAGGCAAACGGAGACGTCGGTGCCAAAAGGGGACAAAGAGGGACGCTTGAAACGCTCTCCCAGACCAACTGTATTCACGATCTGAAAGCTATCTACGCTCCCAATGCTGCCTTCGCTTCACTGGCTCTTGATGCTCGCTGCGAACGCTTCTCGTCCGGGTGGGAAGTTGCGGTGGTGGCGAATGGGCGCAGAAACGTGTTGGCGGGTCGCAGTCAAGGCGAGGGCTGCGCAATCCTGCCCCCATCACTCAGCCCGGTCACGTGCTGCTTTAGGGCAGACCCATCGTGTCTTGGCTGCTCGCTGCCCCGCCGTCCTCGGCCGCGGGCAGGCGTCGGGGCGAGGACGCCGGGGACAGCGAGCGGGCAGCGGACGAGTGTCGAGCACAGCACGATAGGGGACGCGGACGTGCGGAGAGGCTGGACGGTTTCGCTACGATCGCCAATCTCGGATCCGGGGCTGCCACCACCACAAATATGTTGAAGCGGCCCCGAAGCGCTGCAGCGATCGCCCAGCCCGGAAGGAGAAAAGAACTTCGTCCCTGTCACATGCAACACGACGATCTCTTCTCTCCATTCCACCCAGTTCCCACTGTCCATTGCACTCGTACTGAATCCTTGTTGACATACTTACAAAAAGAAAGGATTAAGAAAGAAAGAAAGAAAAAAAGTCCTCGGGTATGAAAAACCACATCGTCTGTCTGCTACAGTCTTACAAGAATCTATCGAACACTGGGCTCTCCGTAGCGCAACGCTTGCTGTTGTTGTGCAGACTGCGGCGCCGGGCCTCCCGCCGCATAGGGATTCATCAGCGTCGCCTCCCGCGCGCCAGGCCCCGCCGGGGCACCCGTCTCCCCAAATCGAGCCTGCGTCGGCGTCTGTTCTGGCGGCAGGTAGTTGCCGCTCGCCGTCGGCATGACAGGAGAACTGCCTAGAGATCGCATCGGCGGTGCGCTCTGAGGCACGAACTGCGGTGGAGGTCCCGGTGGCGGAGGGAAACGCGCAGACTGCGTCGCCGCAGCATACGGATCCTGGTAAGGCGACTGACGAGACATAGGATACGCGTTAGGCCCGCCAACTTGGCCGGCGGCGTCCCATGAAGCTGTCGAACTGTTCGTATTCTGCCTGAGCGGCGTCGAACGTTGGCCATCGTTGCGTTCGCTCATGTATGGCGCAGGCGATGACGACTGAGACGATTTGGCGCTAGCTACCTGGCCGAGGGGCTTTCGTGGCTGAGGCGCATGCAGTGTCGGGTCTGGAGCATAACCAACGGCGCGACCGCTGCTGTCCCATTGTTGATACGTCGAGTCCTTGGCAAAGTTTGCCGTAAGTGGGAGTTCCGAGTCAGACTTACGAGGATCGAGGGAAACCGTGGACTGTAGCACAGCAGCGTTGCCGTACGGAAGGTCGCCGCCGCTTGCTTCGAGCTTCGCTTGCCTATTAATTCGATCTAAGTCACGTAGGTATTGCAGGTCATGCGTGGAGGTGCATACCTCGCTTTGCGCCTCTCGTAGATTACTTCCGGCTTGACCTTGGCCATCAGCTTATAGATGTACCACATTGCGACAAAAGTCACAATGGTAGTAAAGGCAATCACAACATATTTAATGATATTGTCTTTGGTGCTAGATTGCCCTGCAAAATGGGGAGATTGGTTCCGTCAGCATCGCATGTAGTCAATTCAAAGGTGGCAATCGCATACCGTCCTCAGAGTCTTCAAGGGCAACACCCAAGTATACCGTGATGAATTGCTTGGGCAACGTAAGGAAGGCAGCTAACATGAACGTCCAGATGCTCATGCCGCATGATGAGAAGACCGCAGTCGTGACTACGAGAACAACGTGAGATACTGCATCATCAGAGCCAAGTGAATTGTGTACGTACAGTGCCCCGGAATGGCGCTAAATCGGGCAATGACTGCGATCTTGAAGCCACCATCGCGGACAATTCGGGCAAGGCAGGCATACGAAATCTGCGTCTGCTCATACTTCTTGCCTCGTGCGGAGCAGCAGTACCTGAACGCGCTGCGAGGGCATGAGCACCAGTATGTTTATAATAGATAGAGACGCACTAGAAGTTGCCAATTTCACCGACGAAAGTGCCCGCCGCAGTGATGGCAAACCCTGGCCACAGACCCCAGACAACTCCACACAGAATTGCGAGGATTTCGTGCCCAAACAGCTGTGGAACACGATGGCCGACGTTAACACAAACATAAGCATCTCGACTTGGATTTTGCTTACTGGGGGGAACGAGATGACGAAGAAAATGGCTATAGGTATTAGCCAGCCTGCTGGTAAACTAGAAGCACGCGTTAGCAATCGGCTGTACAACAGGGTCCACCCCAAAAGCACTTGGCGCCTGCGAATCTAAGCGAAGATCTGACGACGTCAACCGAAGTACGGCGAGCGCCACATCCGTGCAGCGCTGTGGAACATGCTAACTTGGCATGGTGCTAAAATATGTCCGCATAGCTACGAATGCTATAGAGACAGGAAGACTTCGCGCAACGAAAATCTGCTCGGGGCGCATTACGGCATGGGCTGCTGTTCACTCACTTTTTCATCCAATTCGCGGCGGGCTGGAGCCAGTTCACGATTTGTTCGTGGTAGACGGTGAACAGTATGCTGATGATAAGAACAATGCCACCAATAACGTAGTACCCTACAGAGCGGCATATGATTAGCATACGACGGCCCAGGGGAGCCATCCTTAGTGGAACGCACATAGCCATTCTCTCCGGATCCAGTACTTCCGAGACTTCATAGCTTCCAAGTCGAACAGGTGCTTTTTGCTGAGCTCCGCCATCTCACTGGGAGTAGGGCTAGGTGTGCGTGATATTCGGCGGATGTTGACATCTGCCGTACTATAGTTGTTCGCCTTGTGATAGTATGTTGGAGAGCTCGAAACAGAGGCGCTTGGGTCGTGCGGAGGTGGATAGCCGGGGGAAGCGTTCATCATGGATAGTTATGGTATCGGTACGTTGACCGAGGGTGCAGATGATTGCTAGTACGAGGTAGAGAGCGAGTTTTCGGCGTTGGCAACGGCTCTGAAATCGTTACTGTTCGTGCAGAATAATGATACGGAGGACCGAGGCCAGCAAGCGGTCGTGTGAAGGGGTGCCGAGAACAAGTGGTGGTATCGCGAGTGAAAAGTAGTACAATTCAGCTCAGCTGACAGCTAAGCAAGAGGGTGTGGTCGTAACTTTGAGGAAAACGGGTGAGGGGTACTCGTCGTGGGTCGTGTCAAAAGCAGTCTGAGCTCGGTTGGCGGTGCAACGGCGATTTAGGCGCTTAGTTAGAACAACCCTGTTCTCACGCCTAGACCAATGACGGAATCTGTACAGCTCTGTGTAGCCTTGTTCTGACTGGCCCTTTATGGTGCATAAGCGGGCCGACCACAAGGCCCGACGGGGCGTTTTTGTCATTCACATAAGCGAAACCTCGAGGCCTCACTATTTGTGCGCTCGTTGCGATGTCTCCGTTCAGGCTTTGTTTTCGGGAGCTGCGGTTTCTGCCACAACCAACTATTCCGTTGTGCCTTCCCCTTCAAGTGTTGCGCTGCGCGACAGCATGCGTAACTGAAGACAACCGAAGGATAGCGAGACAAAGCCTAAAGCAGTGCCGCGGCACGAGTACGGGAGTGGGACCCGTGTTTTCTTGCATGTGTAGCCCGCGCTTAGGGAAGCAGAAGCCTCGGCGAGTGGTCTCTAGGCGGTGTAGATACGTGATTGCCAGGATGTTTGAGTGAATTCGTGGAGTGCTGCCGTTTAAGATGTTACACGTCACGACTGCGGTGTTCGCCTTAACTTGAGCGTTTGAACTGGCACGCAGTAAAGCACTGCTCCGGGCCCCGCGATATATAGCGAGGAGTCTCCAAACAACTTTGGCAGTAGACGGCCATGCTGTACAGACTTCCTAGACCGGATACAGCTACACATTCCACACACAGATACTTAACTTAACGCACATGCCTGGTTGCTTGTGCGACTGTTGACTTCAGTAGTTCAGCTGGTGATTCTTTGCACAGCTTCCTAAAACGGCAGCCGCGCCTATTGCCGAGGAGCCCGCGTCCCCATCCCCATAACTTGGTGGCGTTCCGCGACTCCGACCCGGTTTTAAGCATGCCAGCTAAGATGACATTACAAACGAGTGACTCAACTCCTACCATGACCATCCTACAAGGCCAGACGACGGATCTTAGCACACTGTCCAAGAAATCGCAGCAGTGCATCGAGAGGCTGCTCGCACATAAGGCAGAGGATATTGACCTGTACGTGCTTAGTACGTGCCTTGAGAAACATATGTGGCGATGCTGAGGTACGCTCAGGAGCAAGGTCTCAAAGTCCAAGCGAGCCGGAGTCCTTGTGTTGCTTTACGAAAAGAATGGCGTTCTGAGGGTCCTGTTGACCACACGTTCGAAGACGCTCAGAACGCATCCTGGTCAAACAGCACTGCCAGGAGGCAAAATGGATGAAACGGACAACGACGTCGTTGAGACTGCGGTAGGTAGAGGCCAGTTAACGTATCTACCCTGTTCCTAAAGATCCCTATGTAACGCAGTACAGGGAAGCATTTGAAGAAGTTGGCTTACCTCTGCACCATTCCAGCATCTATACGCTATGCGTTCTTCGGCCTTTCATATCATTAACGAGACTCCTGGTATCCCCAGTCGTTGCTCTTCTCACGGACATATCTGTGCTCCACAGGCTCGTACCTTCCGAAGGCGAGGTTGAGGCTATATTTGATCACCCCCTTGAAGCCTTCCTGGATCCCCATCTCAGTCAACAGGAAGACTTGGTGGCCATTGGGAGCGAACCATGGCCTTCAGATGAACAATTCTACGTGAGTCTAGAGTGTTCAATGTCATCAAGTTTTCAATAACATCATTCACGCGCAGAACCATACTGATAGCCAGTGGACATGGCTGGGTAACTCATGGTACAGAATGCACCGCTTCCGATCCACAGCATCTGCGATCAAGGGTCTTACTGCCGAAATATTGGTCAGTTATCTTGCGTGTTGTTTCTTACGTGCTCATTGCCGTGTCGTCCGTCTTCAATATCTAGATCATGACCGCAGTCATCTCCTATGGACGCTCGCCGTCATATTCGCGATACGCCCTGGGGCAACCCACAACGTTCTCTGACATCCTGAACGCCTTGGGCTCAACTTTTTTCACAGAGCTGCGCGATCTGGGGGGTTTGGCGGAGCCTGTACCTGGCAGTGTGATTGTTGGCCGTGCATAGCCCGCATCTGTTTATCTCCCATAGAGCTCCGTCAAACTTTAGATCTCAGGCTCCACTGTACATCGTACACTACTTACACGATACTGTTGTTAAACCTCACCTCAACGCCCTTGTGCACCAGTGTACTCGAAATACACCAGATATTATAAGCCACTGTAGCTAATTTTCACAGGGACCGAGTTATGAGAGACGGACACGACTCCGAGGCTGTGAAGTGGGGTAAAGTCATCCTGCTGACTAAGCAAAAATAATCCAGTGTGCGGTGCGCGCGCAGCGCCTCACTCATCTCTATTCGCGACCTCATTGCTTTGCTGTCTACTCTTCTCCAGACACTTTAACGACCCACTACCAGACGACCCCCTGCTGCACGACTTGACTGCTCTCTACTCTTCGAACTCTCTTCCCTCGTTCAGTACTCCCTTTCTACAGACCCTCTCGGAGCCCCGGGCGATAGGGTGTCCTCCTTGCGCTCTGCGTCGCCCTTTCTCAACCGCACTCCATGGCGTTCTCCGACCTTGTGCAAAGTATATCATCCAAAGTGCTTCCTGAAAAGCGTGGCACGCTACCATTACAACCTTCAACGACCGGGGCGGGAATTGCGAGCGGCGGCCATGCACCATTCGAAGATGATGTACGTCTCTCACCTTCTGACGTCCGTTCCTCCTCGCGTCCATGAACGTTGTCGTCATCCACGGCTTATTTTACCACAGTGGCTATAACAAGCCGCTGTTTCACACTCTCATCCTTCCCATCGTGTTACGTAATCATCATGTTCATGTTCAACTCCAACCAACTGCGCCGCCTATGGGAGCAGAGACAGACGGCTTTCTGGTCTTGCTGTTGTTTATTCCCTTGTTCTTGGTTATATGGATATGGGTTCATACTCTTTGAAACTCATTGCTAACATGTGTGTTAACGCGCGTCCTAGATGATCGTCTCAAAGCCGGCAATCATATTCTTCACGTTGCAGATATTCTTCAACTTCATTGCGATGTGTTGTTTCGCTAGTGTAGCGTCATTCCAGGCTCAGCACCATGTCGGCCCTTGTGAGTGCCCACTGTCTGACGCACATCTCGTTCTAATGATCACGCTGTCTTAGCGGGCCTGAGTGGATTCGCGCTCTTCATCTCGATCTCTGGCATGTTCTACTCGCTGTTTTTGCTTATGGTCCCTGTCATCTACGAAAAATATGACAAAGGTGCAAGACTGGCCCGCGCGTTGAACGAGATCCGCGTCGGGTTCATCCTCACTGCTACCGGAGTTGTAGCTAGCTTGTTGATCGCGTGCGTATGCATTCCCTTCGAAACTGTGTAATTCTAATTGTTACTTCAGCTTCATCACAACGATCTCCGCGTGGACTGAGCCAGGCTGCAAGGATGCATCGAAAGACCCCAACGCAAAGGCAGGGGGTGATAGCTTCGTAAAGGGTCTCCCTGGCTGGTGTTCCACGAAAAAAGCTGGCTGCGTCTTTTTCTGGTTTGCGTTCGGTAAGCAGTTTATGAATAGTGCTTTCACTCTGATTTGACGTCTTCGTAGGAGCCTGGCTCGGCACTCTTACCCTGACTCTCCTGGATTGGCGCAACGGCAAGAACAGCCGCGCGCGCGACCCTCCCTTCGTCCCACCCGCAGAAGACGCTGCCGAACGCGATGAAGAAGAAGCGGACTCAATTTACGATCAACCGTACGGAAAGTCTATCGACGAGCATTCAGACTCCAGTCAAGGACCGTTTTCCGACAACAACCGCTACTCCGGCGTCCCTACTGTCGCGGCCTCCACTAACCCGTATTCTGGAGCCCCTCAGCTCCCTAGACAAAGCTTCGATAACTACGGCGCTTTCCAAGATCCTGCTCCGAGTGGTTTCGCTGCTACAACCAACTCACCTCCGACCTTCGCGCCACCGCTGAGCCCTCCTCCCGAGAACACGCGTATCAGCCGCACGATGCAATACGCGGACCCTTATTCAAGGGTGCGCGACGCAGTAACGCACAGTGCGGCGGCTCCGTCTCCCCCAACTTATTCTACATATAACCCCTACCCGTGATGACGAGACAACTTGAATCTCACAGATGTATTGCGATGATTACTTACGGTTACCCATTTCTACGGTCTGGCTCAAGCTCGCATGGACTCTATCTATTCGTTAAATGTCTGTTATATACGCGATGTCATACCGATTACGAGCTCTATCAAGTCATGCATATGTAGCTTTGCGCGTTCGCGCAGAGCAGAAGCAATTAATACCGATCGGTGTTAGTGACGCGACGCGAGGTGCCGTTTATCAAACAAACCGTGGGAATGATGAAATCCAATGCACGCTTACCGCGAACTGTCACCGTGACACCGTCTCGCTGCTTCTCCGAGTCCGTCATGGCCCAGCGCAAACCACTGCAGAAACAGCCTTCAGGCTTGTTGTCCAATGTCTTCGACTTTGTGTCGCGAGAAATCGAATCTTTTGTAACGACGGCCACAGGGGGAGGACCTCCTGCCAAGGTCAGTTCCACGCCTAGATTTTACACGCCTGTAGTACTCAACGGATGCGTGTTTCGCCTGTAGCAAGCACCTCGTGCGTCGTCGTCGCGCGTTAAGCTAGATGCTGGCGCTCAATATGCAAATGCACGGGGGAAGAGGAAAAGGACGTTGTCCATGCGAGAAGGAATGTCCGAAGAACAGGGGACCAGGCGGCATGGGCGGGTGAACGTTGCCCCAGAGGCTGTCCCGGAAGATCGAACCCATGAAGAGCCTCTGGCTGAAAAGTCAAGGAGTGCCAATACGCAGCAGACTAGGTCACGATCTTCAGCTCAGACTCAGCAACAGACATACCAACAACACCGACCTTTCGAGGTCATTGAAGCATCCGCACCAGAAGAATGTACTGTGCAGCCCCCTTCATCTACTCTCGATTTACAGAAGCGCAAACGTGGTATTACCATGCCTGGTTCCCTCTTTCCTCGCTCTCCCTCCCTCGATCCCACCCCTGCTCCCCAGAAGGCCGAGGATCGTCAGGTACACTTCATGGCTCGTCACGACGAGGTCAAACTAGAGCTTCCATCCGCGCCGACTATGAACGAGATTGCGGAAGAGCCTGAAGAACCTCCGGACTTGTCTCAGTTTCCACGACCCTTCGAGCACGATGAGGGCGATAATCCTTTCTTACCAACAGGTATGACTCCTGCTCTGGTCGAGCGCATCACATCCAATACCGAGGACGCTAAGCGGTTCCTCGAAGACTTTACCGCGTCGCCACGCTCGTCGCCTATACCTGATACTCCTATTCCAACTCGAACCGCTCCTCCCAGACGTCTCTTGATTGAGAGTCCCATTGGCCCGGAGGCTCCTGTCAACGTACTACCGGTACTATCTGTCAAAGCCAAGGGGAAGCAGAAGGCGACTGAGCCGGAGGAAGTTTACGAAGAGGGTAATTCCAAGGTGCTTCGCGTCCGTGGAAAGGAGAGAGAGTTGCTTGAAGTCCAAGAAGAGCACCAGCAGAAGGAGCAGGACCGAGCAGATGATCCAGAGACGACGATTATACTAGAAGAGCGAGGGCGAGACAAGGAGCGGATAAGAGAACTTGAAGCAGAACTTGTCGTGCTAAAACGGCAGGTATGTCGATACTAGTCATCTGTCCATTCGCGTTTGCTGAGCTCGATGCCAGCTCTCAGAGTCTCGGACGAAACAGAAAATACCAGACGCTCCACCTCCGCCGCCTCCACCTCCGCCGCCGCCTCCACCTTCGACACGCCGTGCAGCTCCTGTAACCATTGCGGGCATCAGGAGTCAGAGTTCTGCGTTCTCGAGAGCTTCTACTGAATCGTTCCTTGTCACCGCTAGAGCTGCTCTCAGGAAACAGGCACCCCCGAAGGAGGCGCCAGTTAATCCGGTTTATGCGCCCATCGCTAGACCACCGTCGAGAACCACAATTAAGGCTCAAATGACGGGTCGTCCGTCAGTAAATGTGCCCTCAGAGAAGATGCAGGCGTTCCTGACAGAGGTGAAGAGTGTAAAACTAAAAAAGGTAAGCGGAGAAATGGCTCCACCGCTTACCTCAGACACGGGTCGGGTTGCTCTTGCACGCTCCCTGAGCGGAACGGAGAAAGGCAAGGAAATCTTGCGGCAGTTGGCAAGGCGGAGGTCAATGGCAGAACTCAACGCCCCAAATGATCTTAAGCGCAAGCGAGACGACGCCGATAATGAAACGGATGGTGAATCAGGTGGGTGTATGCCTCTTAGAAGAGTACATCATTTCATGTTTGCGTTGTAGCTGTTGCTCTCAAGCGTGTCGCAACAGAAAGCTCGCTTACAATGTCTGATGCAAGCACCTCATCGATCCCTTCGACGTCCAATTTCTCCACCAACAGTTTGTTCTCACAAACTAGCCGGACATGGCCTTCCATTACTGCGACAGACACAGACGTTACTACTACCTCTTCATTGTGCTCGGACAATGAGAAGGAAGAAGCTGTTCACGAAGACGAACCGCCTACTCCTCCTTGCCGTCCACCTACTCCGCCACGGCGCCTCAAGAAACGGCAGACCAAAGCTCGGTCGATGATTAACACTCCGGACGTGGATAAAAGTCTACCAGAGATAATTGATGCCGCTGACGACGGTTACGGGCACAAACCCCCAATCTATCGCTCTCCAAGTCCTACACCACGTGTCGAGAGTCATACGCCACACCGTCCCTCCCGACGTATCGGGAGCCGCACACCACACAGCTCTCCTGCTGAGGACGTATTCTCAAGGCGCCCACCTAGCTCGCCTATGCCTGCTATAGTGACGAAAAAGCCCAAGCCTCCCGGCCGTTCCCGCGCGCAGCTACGCATACAACCTGTTCCATTCCCCACAGACGGCGATCGGAATTCTGGCCATAGATCATCTCAGCAGGTCTCAAAGCCCGTTGCTCCGTTGGCAGTCAAGAAAAAAATTGAAGCCCGAACGTCACGGTCTCTGTCGCGACAAACGACCGAGGAATCGCTAGAGACGTCAGCACAGAGCTCACAATTTTCACCACATGATCGCAGACGGCGCACGCTTGACGCTGAGATCCGGCGTGCTGGGGACCAGCTCTGGGAGCAGGACAACAGGGATACGCTGGAAAGTGGCACATTGGTCGGTGTCGGTGGCAAAGACATGCGGGGTGGATTCCTTGCTCGAGGCGGCGGCGCAGGGCCGTCGGTGTATATGGGTATTGGATACGTACAGGGGGCCGAGGAAAATCAGCGTATACCACGGACGCAGCGGACTATCGTCTGATTCATTCATCTAGCAAGACATGTATTCGACTCGATCTCGTACTCAGGTTTTGTTCGCTATCTATTCTTCATCTATATTGCACGTTTGTGTCTAGTACTAGTGGCTTCGATGCACGCTGGAGTATATCGCTCAGACGATAGCAATTTGACAGCGTCCTGTTTTACATTTATACGCAGGGGTCCACCCCCCTAACTCCTCCAGTACTGTGCCCAGTCATGCATCCTGTCGAGTACGACCGTAAACGGAGAGATGTCGTTCAACAGCTTCTCAAAATGCTCGATCGCTTGCTCTTCTGTCATCTCAAGGCAGAACTTGCCGAGCACCTGCTCGTGCACATCACGATGCTTGATGTGCGGGATATTCGCGTCGACCATGAGCGTGGCCAGGTTCAGAATCAGATTCGCGCTCTTGCGGAGGATCGTGAACGCTGTGAAGCAAAAGTTCTTGAAGCGAGCGTAGTGCACAGACTGCACTCCGCCCATCGCGTCGACCATCTCTTTGCAGACCTTCACCGGCGGCGCCAAGGGCTTGGGATCGCGCCCAAGGATGTATCCGAAATCAACTAGAGACCAACAATGCCTTAGTCTACGCGATCACCAGACAGATGTAACGCACCATGGAAGAAATGACCATCAGGTGCAAGAAGCAGATTGTCTAGATGTCGATCTCCAACGCCCAACAAGTAGGTCATCACGCAATACCCAGCTATCATTTCCGTCAGGCCCAAATAGATCTTCACATCAATGCTCAGCACTCACCGCAACTCCTAACAAATGTATCAATCACCCCAGGTTCGACACCATATGTTCCGACACTGCCCTCGTCTGGATGGTGGGCCCGAAGGTAATTCAACAACGTCCCGTTCTCACTGACTATCGCTGCGATCGTCTTGCTTGGGATGAACTGTGCCATGCCTTGCGTTGGGCCCGTCGCAAGGACGTCGTAGGGGCTGACCTTGAGATCCAGGTTCTCCTTGCGCAGGAGCCGGTCCATGAGTGTGAAGATCTGGATAACGAGCTGGTCTTGGCGCATATCGTCGCCGTCTTTGAAGATGATCGGGTACTCGCTACCATCAGGCGCATGGAAGTATAGCAACATCGGAAACATGTTCGACTTGAAGACGGACGACTTCTCAGAGACGATGCCGGCGATCTCAACCTTTGCGTTCAGAGGGAGCGGGAGGGACATCATCGACGACAGGCCATTCTTCGAGTCTGCAAGGAAGGCGCGTAACTTTTCGATTTTCTTTGGTCGTGGATCCTTCGACATCCGCAGCTCCCGAGCACGCTTCGCGAGGGTATCGACCAGTTCTCCCTGGCGTTTGATCAGGTCTCTTCGATCTGCACCGTTTTCAGACTGTACCACATCGATGAGTGCCACCCGGCCAGCTGGAACGGGTTCCACATACCTCGAGAATCTTGTTCATAAACTTGTAGACGACACGACCGTACATCTTGGCCATGATCCTGTCCTCAAGCTGCACCTCCACTACAAGATACCAATAGAAACGGTTCCCTAACAAAGGATTGCGGACAGCGCGTCCAATCAAAAAGTCTGCCAGCCCGCTGTCATCGTATGATACCGCGCTTGAAGTAGACCTTGCGGACCGCTGGTCGCTGGCGGTGCTCTCAAACTTGAGGGCTTGAACAAGTTGCAGGAGGTACAACAATAGCTCCTGAGACGAAAAGTCAGCATTGGTGGGTACTCGTCACAATGACCTAATCACTCACGTCGTCATCCGCCTTGCTGAGCTGCTTCACCGCATACGCTCGCACACGCGAATCCACGGTATTGGGGCCGAGCAACTCAAGAGCGTCATCGATATCGATTTCAGTCCATTGCGGAAGAAGCTCTTCAACAGCCTGCTTGACCTCCGCGGGGTCCCGCCAAGTCACGGATTTCAAGAACTTGGTCAGTCCCCGCTTGTCTCTTGTGAGATAGAACCGGAATTTCCAAATGAGATCCTTCTCTTCGGAGGTTAACGGCTGGCTCGGCGCGTAGTTGAGAATCTCCTGCGGAGGCTGTTAGCCAACCTCAACAGCCGCGGGGATGTAATCTACTCACGTTCAGCTCGTCACGGATCTTTGCATTAGGTTTGAGCTCTCGGTCGTACGGGCTGCTTCTATGGCTTCGCACGAGTCGTCGATGTTTATCTTCGACAGGGTTCTCTTTGGCAATGTCTGGGTCGACAATGGCCCATAGGTGCGCGTCAACAGCTAAAGCGGACGACACAGCGGTAACCACTGGTGGTGCAGGGATAACAGGGGTAGGAGATGTGCTTGTACTCAACGAATCCTGTATACCGGGTCGTCCGCGGACAATTACATAGAATTTGGGCAAAGGTACTCACGGTTTCAGAGAAAATGACAGGAAAGTCGAACCGGGGGAGGTCGATATACAGAAAGAGGTTCTCAGACTTCTCGGTCTCGGACTGTGTGAGCGAACGAGGTCAGCCCGAGGGCGCGAAGGCAGGAGTCGCAAAAGCCCACCGCATGGATTTCTTCCATCCTTCTAAATGCCATAGTGTCCAACCAATCTGACTTTGGCAGATCTCCCCGTTCATATTTCTTCACAAGCTACGCGGTGTTCGGAGGTAAGCGCGGCCCATTTGTCGCAGTGTTCAGCCGGTACCCACCTTCTCCAGCCTCCCCATTTCGTCTCGGGTTCCCATCTTGCTTGGGGTACTACTTTCATTTGCCCCGTCTGCCTCATGGCCCGGCCACAAGTAAAGACGATGTTTCCCTCTGCGCAGACTCCTACAATCTCGATAGAACTCATGAGCACATGTGAAAAAAGAAGCGACCCACACACGGACCATTTCTTCCCAAAGAGACGAAAAGTAGAGCCACCGACAGGAGCAGCCGCACGAGGACCCGCAATGTCCCAGACAGTGAATGTAATCTGCGAGTTCAGCGGGAGGTCGCAATATCGTATGGGGAATGTGATCCATTCGTTCCACCTGCGTTACGCCGCTGCAGCGTCAGCCATTGGTGAGCATGAGAGTTAAGTGACGCGTACGTGTAGTCCTTTGTGAAAGCCTTGAACGAAGTCCGGAACGGGATTGTGAGAGGCTTGTTATCCGCTACGAGTTGGCAGGTCACATAGAGGTCGGAAAGGGCCCTGCAGTAGCCTTAGTAATGTACGTGCATGACCATAGGAGCGTGTACACACGGCGACTGTTGAACTCCATGAAACCTTAGCTCAGGCTTCTCCAGTAGCTCGGTGAACGCGTGAGGTCGCCTGAAGCCTTCTAGCTGTGAACTACACGGATCAGAGGAAGACAAGGTCCAAACGCATGCGCACATACATCCTGAATGTGACCGGCAGCTTCAAGTCGCTCAGCTTAGCAAATGTAAAATCATCACGGCTATCCTTGTCCATGTTCATCGAGGTGTGAATGAGAGATACATCATGGGCGCTTCCTCAAGCTGCTATCATCGACCCGGCCTCTCTCCAGATAGGTTCAAAACTAGCAAGTCCGCAAGCCAACTACAAGCCTTGTGTGCGCACTAAGGCCGGACGCGAACGATGTGAACGTGCATTTTTGTGTCCCGACAACCCTTATCCGATGACATTGCTGGCATGGTGTGCGTCTCCTAGCCAAAACAGTGTGAAGATATCCCGCCTCTATCTCTCGAAAGCGAGCATATAAAGTTAAATAACGAAGGTTGGGACTAAAGGTAGGACGCTTAGTCGTCCTTCTTGCCTATCCTCTTCTCGGCCTCCTCGATCGCTGCCTTGTCGGTTTGCGGCTCGGCGCCAGCTACAGAAAAATACTCAGGATTGCGCAGCCATGCGTAGTGAACATTCGCAGTACTCACCACCCATTAAACCGCCTGCGCCTTTGAAGGGACGCTTGAGATCGCCCTCGGCGGGCTTGCCCAAAATGTAGACGGCGACGAGCTTGGAGTCGTACAGGTTCTTCAAACCCATGAGGGATTGGATGAACAATGGCTGCGTGTACCTGATTACACGCAGTCAGTATCGTACAGGAGGATTAGGATATGACTACTCACTTGAGATAACCGTGCAAGAACACCATCATAGCGACACCCATCCACACGCCACGCATGGCCTTGTTCATTTCCGTAAGGTCATAGTCCCGGTTAGTGGTCGCTACCAGCTTTCCTGGTTCTTTGGACTGCGATAACAATTCATGAGATGGATGCTGATACAGTGTTCGTAAGGTGACACGTACCATTGGGCCGGCTGGTTCGACTTGGGTACGCGAGTAAGTCAGTAAGGGGCCAGTACATTGGACTCGAACAAACACACCATACTTGAGGACCGTCTGGTCGTTCTTCGCCTTTATCTGCGCGAAAAAAATTCAGTCAGAACATTTCTTGGCCGACAAAGTCTGCGCTTGGGACATACTTTGGCGGTAATAAAGTAGTACACTCCAAGAACGATGACCTGGACAGCAACATATGCAACTCGAACATAGGTGAGCACCTGTGGGTCCTCGAAAGGGATTTTGCGGGCCACTGGGGTATGAATGAAACCAGCACCGCGGTAAGCGTCACTTCGCTGGCAGACGAGAGGTCATATGACTGGCATACGTTGCATGGCGCCGATGGAGAGCACGAGATTCGAGGTTGCTGCATTCATGTTGGACGATATAGGGAGACGTTCCGCAGGAGGAAGACGTATGTAGCACAGTCGGGAAAAGGGACGAGGTAAAGAGGTGCGAGCTGGCGCTGAGGGTGCTCGCGAGACCCAGGCGCTTCGGCGGGACGCGTCCCCTGCGTGTTTACACGTATGTGTCAATCCGGTAATTCACACGCTCCTAAAGGCAACCTTCATAGTTCGACATCTCGCAGCCGCAACCGTGACAACCTTTATTCCAGCAAGCATACTCAAGTTCGCGAGAATCGCTGTAGTCTCCTAATGCGAGAGGGTATAATTACACGGGAATATTACACATGGTATATGAGTCCGCAAAGATGTTATCCGCTACGATGCTTTGGACGGCCCAATAACGGTGTTCTTCGTCTTATTGAGGTTGGCAATAGTCTGGTCGTCGAGATTGAGATGAGCTTTTACCAGCGCGGGTGGTGTAAGAGCCAGCCACTGCAAAGCGTGAGTAAGCCGCATGTGCACGATGTTAGCCACGGTACTCACCTGCTGGAGGCTGATGTCCTGGAAGCGATCTAGGCAAAGAAAGTCTATAAGGCAAATATTTGGCGTAAATTACGATACACACTGGATTTGAAAATTTCCAAGAAGCGCAGTGGCGTCGTGCCCGTGTTCTCAACGTAATGACCTGATGTCCGTGCATTAGAACTGGATTATACCTAGTCGGTGAGACACCTACCAGACGATGCGGGGACGTAGCCTTTTCAGGAGCCGTGAGCCTTTGACCTAATAAAGCGTAAATGGCACTGACCGATATCACCAGGCTGCAGAGTCGCGAATCAGTGCCATTCATCGGTCACAGATAAAGGCGTCACTTACTCCATAGTTGAACGTGTTGGCTTGAGAACTGCCGGCAAAGACAGTCATGCGCCCGGTACCCTCGCTACCGGTAGTTCAATTTGACGTCGTTTGGTTCCAGTACTATTACTCACATGTAGAAGCTCCATTCGTCCTGTGTAGGGTGCCAGTGCAACTCTCGCATTGCGCCCGGCTCAACGGTGACCTCAGCGGCAGCGATGGTCTGGGCAATCGGGAACGTCGTCGAATCCACGATCCGGACAGAGCCACCAGCTAATGGAGTCCTGGGCACCTTGGAAAACTCGAACGAGAAAGCCTCGGACGCCGGCACGGTGCCCTGTGGGCTTGGCACAGCTACCGCGTTGTCGGCAGGGGGGTCTGGACGCCACGACGTCAGCACCAAGTGCAGGGATGACCGACACACCGGCACGTACCACTTGGGAAGATGTACAGCTCCTTTCCTGGGATTTCATCAAAGGCCGAGATATCTGTCTGGAAGTTCTTGGCAAGGACCTCCTTCGGCACGTGCGCGAGCCAATCGGTGAGCTACAATATGTCATGAGTCCGTAGTCCCGGACGATGGAGCGCGGAAGCAGCGTACCAGGAACGTAGAGTCTTCGCTAAAATCGCCCGAGTCAAAGACGAGCAGGAATTCGGCGCCTTCTGGTAGGTCTGCTGTCGCTTGGATGGAGTGTGGCACACCGGGGGGGAAATACCAGACATCAGATTGGTTCTGGAGGAAGCAATGTCAGCTCAATACAGATGGCAATCGTGACGTTTGCCCTTACCAAGGTAGCTAGGTAATTTTGACCGTTGGTACTAAGCACCGTTATTTGCACAGAGCCGTTTAGAATGTAAGCCCACTGTCATCCAATGTAAACAAAAGCTTTCTTAGCAGCAATGACACGTGCCTCGGCAGTCGAATGCCAGTGTAACTCCCTGATACCTGTGAGTCAGTAGAAGAAAATGTCTCGGACAGTTGATGGAGTACCTGATAGCCCCAGCTTCCAAACGCATATCGACTCCGGCCATCTGTGTAGCGATGGGCATCACATTGACTGCAAGAAAAGTGGTGAGAATTATGTCACATGAGCATCTACGAGCTTGACTAACTATTCTGCTGCCTTGCCCATCCCCCCGTCTGAAGACGGTTAGGACTGAGACTGAACGGCCATTTGGAATTCCCCCTGTCCGACCATTCGCCGTCAGTGTCGGGACCATAGATAAATTAAGGTGGAATGTCTACACATTGCCGGAATCAGTAGTCGGTGGTGCGAGTAGGTCCGCATTCTGCAGGTCGATGGGAACGTTCTGGGGACCGAGGACGTTTGAGCCGAGGGTGCCTCGCATGGGCTCGGGCATGACATCACTGGTTTCGGTCCACAAAATGCCGTTGGGGTCGTCAGAAGCAGGGGCGACGGTCGCAGAGACAGGTGCGGCAGAGGCGAGACTGCTCGGCGACAGCGAGGAGAGCGGAATAGCTGACCCCAAAGGGGCGGCGCACACAGAGTGTACGACAGCGAGAAGAGAGACGAAAATAGCCAGGGATAATGGTAGGCCGGACGACATCCTGTGCAAGAGTGTGCAAGGGGCTCATGTATTTTGGTCGAGAGCTTTCTCCAAAGTCTTTTTATACCTTCTCCACTCACCGCCAACGGCGAGTACGATAGTCTCAGGCGGATGCTATCTAGCGTGTCACGGATGTTGTCGTAGGAAACGCCCACGGAGAGAGCTGTTTCACTTCACAGGGCTACTGTTACAGACTGCTATTATTGGCAGATCTGCTGGTGTTGAGGCTAGGAAATTTGCTAGCAGTATGACCAAATTGGGTCCCGGTGTGTATGTTAGCGGGACGCCATCCGAAGGGACGCTCCTGTGGTAGCGTCTCGCCATCAGCTGATCGACCTGGCCGAAGGCTCTGAGCAGTCGGCATAGATCGCGCAGCCGCGGGCATTCCCTGCTGGCCTCGCGGCACGTAAATCGGCCCCCAGTATCGGGTGCGAATGGCGAGCGGGGGATTTCAGATGTCCTTTTGAGGCTAATGGTACTCCCGCGAAACGTCGAACCGTTCAGAGGCCGAGCAGGCGTGGCGGCGCGTTTACCAAACTGCGTCGCCACAACGGTCACCGTGCGGAACGGAAAGCACGCAGCGCTTCGTACCTGGCGGAACGGAACCGGTAATTGCTCGCAGTGACAATGCCATAGGCTCATGGTCTCAAGCGATGGGTCATGAGGCTTCAAGCGGGACCAGACGAATGACTTTACAAGTACCGTTGGCCCTCTCATTCGTCGTCGCCACTGGGAAGTTTTTCTCCTACGCTGCGCACGCCATACGTTGAAAACATGACAGATAGTCGTTTGCTGATTTGGCCAGTGGTACGGAACCGAAGGGTCGACAGGTCGTCAAATTCTGCGAATTGGGACCGAAACTGCAGAAGGTCCGGTGTGGAAACAGGGCCGGGAGGCGAAGGAAAATTGTATGCTGTTGTTTGTGGACCTTCTAAGTTTCCTCGACTCTGTCGACTGACGTCTCTTCGTGGTACTTTTCTTCCCATGAACCCTGGTAAGTTCAGACCGACAACGTGAGAGAATTAATTCAAAGACGGGGCCCGAGCATACATTGTAGGATCCAGTGTATTGCACTTGTGCCTGCGCCAAGCGGGATTCCTCGGTTTGCGGCTCGGTATCCAAGGGACCGTCGTGTGATTCAAAGTGAAATGCCGGAATTCAACGCCAGTTGGAGTTGTTTTGTCGAGAAGCGCATCGATGTACTCGCTTACAAACGCGAGCTTGTACGCCGAGAATAGCACGGGCGTCAGCTGCGCGAGAACCACAAACAAAGTTGACGAACTCCCTGTTTGAACCGTGGGCGATCACATTCTGAATACACCGTTGAAGGACGTACCAGCATTGGCGCAAGGGATCACATTCGCCGTGATACTGTGCCGTGCAGCGGCGGATCAGGTGAGGACAAATCTACGTTCAGCACTAACCTCACATGGGCAGAAATTCTCCTGAGGCACATTGCACCTGAACAGGCGAAATGACCCCATTGCCGACAGGGCCGCGGTTCAGACACCAGAGATTGCGGGTTTGTTTTCCCTCCCTCATGCGATGTGCATGAGGTTATTTCGACTTCGTGCAATGATGCGATAGCGCAGTCGCAGTTGTCAGAATAGCAACCAATCAGGCCAATCGTATTTGCTGCGCGAAGGAACGATCTACAGACATGACATCGTTCCCCTAGGACATGCTTGTGAGCGACTTCGATGCATGCACTGAAAATTATGACAGACCTAGTGACTTTCCCATAGTTGCGCGGGTTCCGTGCGCACGATCCAAACCAGGAGACGGCGTCTCAAAGACAGTTTAACGACAGCGTGAGCAGCCAGACAAAGACCAGAGTAACTCTGGCTCACCTCAAAGCTCTGTATCAGTCAGATGCAAGTGGTCAACAAAATTTGAATAACAAGGTGTGCGGTGATACGATGGCAACCACTCTAGTGAGGGACAGCATGAGCACCGGTGATAGGCAATGCTGTGCCCGGTCGCCGATTTGACAATCTTGCATCGCATATACAATGACGTACACGTGCATATACCGAGACTGGTCGCACGCAGCAAGGTAGCCAGTCAACTGTTGCAGGGGTAGTGAACATCCCGATAATTGGGTCGGTAACGCCAAACAATTATGCTCAAGAGGTAGTACCGGAGACTTACTCCAGCCGAGCTCATTTCACTAACCAAGGGCATCTGGCAGAGAGTCGGTTAGGTGGGGACCTCATCGTGACCACTGGGTGAGTAACCCCAAGCTTCTACCAGACTGCGGGGCGTCGGACTCCGCTAGGTTTCTTCGCACTGCGTGTGGTTGTAAGCGGAGGTGATCAAAGCTCGTAATGAAGCGAGCCCTAGGACCACAAGGTGAGTGAGCAAGCAGTTGCGACGAGGCAGACAGCACATGAGAAAGCTAACCCCACCCATGGCAGCTATGGCAGAGCTATTAAGGGAGTGCACTTGCGCACGCAGAAATAGGATGAATGCGATTGCCGCACTGCGACTGGACGGCATTTGACTGAAGTCCTGCATTGCATATACCGAGCATCAGGCGAAGATTCGGATGTTCGTGAGACGCGTTCATACCAAGCTAGACCCAGATATCACTCACATGTTGGGTCGAGTTGCCCGGGACGGGCCGCAGGAGGCAGGCACGCACAATCTCGCATCACTCACGGCTAATACATCTGAATGGCGGCACCATCGCTTCGTGTGCAGTAGGCAAAGCATCGACACCCTGACAATGACTTCGACACGATCTCGCATGCAGCCGTAGATTTCAGGCGTGAGCTTTGAGTGAGTAGAGGGTTGTTCATTGCATTGGAGAGTTTAACAATTGCAAGCCAGGCGCGACAGCAGATGATATTAGCACAAATGTAAAATGCAGGGTGATATAGTGAACTTTTGTCCCGTGGTTAAACCGCAGTCTTATGCCAGCCGATGTGACGCTGCAAGCCGTCAAACGAGTCGCTCATTCCTCGATCTTGGCCAGGATCTCGGAGTCCTTGTAAAGGTAGTACTCCTTGTCGAACACGGTGTATCAGCAGGCGGCAGGAAAGCAAAGCGTAAGTAGCACACGCACCTCCTCGCCAACTTTTATTGAGTTGCCTCCCCAACCCGGCAGCAGCACACGGTCGCCCGCCTTCACGGTCGTCGGGATGAGCTTACCGTCCTTGTTGGGCGCGCCGGGGCCGACGGCGATGACGGTCGCCTCAGGGAGAGGGGTGCTGGTGGCAGACGTAGGCAGGAAGATGCCGCTAGCGGTTTTCTGTGCGCAAGACGTCATTTAGAGCTTGCGCTGACAAGTCACAGAGCTAGCACGCACCGTATCGGGCTTGAACTTTTGGACGAGAACACGGTCGAAGAGAGGCACGAGGGCCTTGATGGACTTGAAGGTAGCCTGGGCAGCCTGCAGACCGTCGGTCAGCAGCGTCGAGACACGGCAGGGTACAGCGACGAACCATTTGAAGTGCAGCGGATGGAGCGGACGGCGGACGAACGGTGAGAGTGCGCGAAACAGCCCGAACCGTTTTCTTTGACGCATTGTTTTGTACGGACAAACAAAACGGCCACGTGCTGGAACTCTCTCGAAGCGTTTGTGGCGAGAGCGCCCAGCTTCTGCCGCGCGCGGTCTGCAGACGGAGATAAAAAGACAGGTATCGGTATCGGATATAGATTGTACTCTATGTACAGAATTGCGTGTAGGCTACAGTGATGTTGTCGGGTGATGCAGAAAGCCAGAGGATGTTGCGTAACAGGACCAGGTGCGTGACAAACGAGCAACGAGCGACGATGGGAGGACGACTAAATGGGTAGTGAAACGGGCAACGTGAGAGGGGTACTGAAGAAAGACTCCAAGAAATGAAAATGCAGATTTATAGTCTGTGCGAGACGGGACCAAACGAGAGATGTGCAAGCAGAGAACGTCCCGTTTCTTTACCCAATAACCATCGGCTCATCGTTGTTGTCTCCGGAGACACCAGCATCCTCTGCTGGAACGGTGGACGCAGGGCTATTAGGGCGCTGCTGATCCTCCCCTCGCTGGACTTGCAGGATCTGCTGAAGGTGTTGCCTGACTTCAGGGGGAAGGTCCATGTCTGCAGCACCGTTAACGGGGACAGCGGCAGCACCATTGGCTCTATATCGGATCGAGATCGCCCGCGCATCTTGGGGCTCGTTGGGGTTGGCAGCACCATCATCGGCGCGCATGCGAGATCGACGAATAGTCAGCGGGCTGAAAGACCAGCTGCCACCTTGCGTCCGCTGACGGTTCGCATCGCCATTCGCAGTCGGAGTCGCAGTGACAGCAGCGGCAGCAATGGCTTCGGGGACTGCCGCCGTCCTGGCTGGCGAAAGAGGCCCGCCGAACTCCTCGACGATCCGAGCTTCCAGCCGCGCCGCCCTCTCCTGCTCGCGTGCGGCCCGACGCTCTGCACGGCCGGCAGCCGCACTGCCCGAGCCCGAACCGCCGGCACGCGAGCTCTCGCCCTGGTTCTCACGATCCGCGTCATCGTCGTTGTCTTTTGCGCTGCACCAGAAGCGATGTCCTTCGCTCCATGCGATGCTTTGACACTCCTTCCCGCAGTATTTGGCCTTTCTGCAGCGGCGACATTTAGCAAACTCGCGAGGGAACGACTCCCATCGTCCACACATCACTGGTAAACGTTGCGGTCAGCGTTCGACAAGTAGTTCAAGACGCAGGCCACTCACTATTTGCACACTGTCTGATGCCTCCTTGTTGATCATCTTTCCGGCACGCATTCCGCATGATGACGCCAGCCCAGTACTGAATCTCCGGGGGGAGCGTTGGTGGCGGGTTCGGTCCCTCCAGTTCCGAGGAACTCGGCCTGTAGGTGAAGCGCTCCACGAGAGAGAACACATTTGTCATCCGAGGTTGAGATCCAGATGACCCGACGACGGTGGAAGAAGAGCTTGACGCGGGCGTAATGTTAGGCGTTGCAGTCGCTTTCTCCTTCTCCTTTTCCTTTTCCTTCCCGCGGCCTGTTGCGGAGTTAAACACCTTGATGAAAGCATTGGTCTCCTTGGTAGGAGTAGCCGTAGCTGTCTGCTTGCCCGAGCTAGAGCTAGTCTGATTCTTCCACCATTCTTCGTTGTGATTGCCGTCTTGTTGGACTGTCGCCGGGTGGAACGACGGCCGTTGCTTGTAAAATGCCTGCCTGACGTGAGGGTATTTGCTAAGATAGGCTAGCAGCTGCAGAGCAAGCAAGACATCTTCGTCTCTGTAGGGGCCAGACTCTGGGTCTCGATGATGGTGATGATGGTGATGATGAGTGCTAGTGGTGCCTGTCGTCCTGCCGTTCGGGGTCTGACCGCCACGAGCGCGCTCTGGGGTTGCGCCCATCTCGTTAGCGCGGGCTCGAACCGTAGTAGGAAAGGAGGGAACCGGTGTTGGGGTAGTCATCGGAAGTGTGATCGTACCCGCGCGGGGGGTGCGCTCGCCTGCGGTGGCATGATCAGCTCGAGGAAGACCGTTGATGGCGCCGGGCGCACCAGGAGGGGCACCCATCGCAAAGTCATCGTTCGTCTCCAAAGACACGATCCCATCTGCCACATCGACGCCGTCCACGGGGACCGCCTGATCGCTGATGATGATATGTGCATCAGTGTTCATATCCAACGATGCGCCAGCAGCAGGCGGTACAGTGTCTGAGACAATGCCAACAGCGCGACGGGGGTGGGCGGTACCGCGCACAGTAAGCGCGTCCGGTGAAGGATTGCGGCGTTCAGGCGAGGAGGCGCCTGAAACGAGCGCATCGCTGTCTCGGGCGACGTCCATGTCGATATCACCATCATCCTCCGTCTCAGTGTCTGGTCGAGAGTTATCTGTAGAGTGTGAAGTAGTCGGAGCATCGGAGGCCGAAGGGAGAGGGGGACGAGCGCGCAACGTTCGTCCACGATGGTGTCCAGCCGTAGCTTGGGCGGAGACCTGATCCCACACTGGCCGAGCTATAATGGTACCACTCCGGTCTCGTACTTGTGCTGGGACTACGACACTTCCAGTAGGGGTGTTGGATCCAGCTGGTGTGGTGTTGGATGACGGTTCCGTAGATGTGTCGGTGTCTCGTGAGCTAGGTCTTCTGCCACTTGATGAGGACTCGACATCCATTAAATCCTCCTGCCTCATGGTTAGCACTCAGGAATGTGCAAGCAGAAGTAGACGCACCTCGGGGGTCTGTACTGTCCGCTCTGCCCGGATCGTGCGGTCTGCTGCGACCTGTCTTTGTAACGCTCGAGCCAGCGCCGCGGCTTGTTCTCGCTGCTTGTGCTCGGCATGTGCTGCTCTCCTAGCCATACGCTGTTCTCTCGTCTCCCGTTGCATTCCTCCTGTAGATGTCGATGACCCCACGGCGAACCCCTTGCTGGCCAACCAGGCCTCTAAAATACACCCCACCACCTCCAACGTCCCCGCCTGCACTACCCGCCCGCGAATCTGCTCACTTCCGCGTACTCCGATGTTCACTACAGACTGAAATGCGAGAGAAAACCGGTAGGCCGCCTGTTTGTCATATGACTTGGGGTTGAGGGTTGGGACCAACTTCGGTGGATGTGCAGATGGAGAGGATAGGCCATACAGAATAGCGTCGTTTTGTGGCGGTGGTGGACATAGACAAAATTCGTGTAGTATACGAACCAGTCGCTCCAAGCCGCCGTCCATGGTCATGATCTCGCGAATCCGTGGGGAAGTGGAGGTGAGATAGGTTAGATGTGACAAAGAGTTGTATAATGGTAGTGGCGCATTTGTGTCGAGGGCTACAGAAAGGGTCAATCACGACGTTCAACCAGTGTGGATAGCAAAGCACAAGACTAACCTCTGCGGTCGTAGAGCTGGGATGTGATGCAGACACTGGCCCGATTCTGGGCAGGGAAGGCGAAGTTAGATTCGCGCATAATAAGACGTCGTAGAAGAGACTGTAGGAGGTGCTAGCGAATGGAGTCCAGATATTTGTTGAGTCGTGGAAAGTGTCGTGCTCGTCCCCGTCGTCGTCGATGTTGGTAATGTAGCCCGCTGCCGACCCCGATCTGACTGAGACGTCTGTTTGGTCTTGTTTTTCCCATGGCCAACTGTGGCAAACGTCTGACAGGCGCCCGCGCTTTGTTCCCGTCTGCTTTCTGTCTCCGGATCCGTGCCTGGCTACCGCACCGCCAGCTCAGCGCTCATGCACAACAAGCAACTTCCGAACACGCAGAGAGAACATGATTCAGCATGCGGATGGGTCACCACATCGGTCTTATTAACCCAGCCGTTGCCAGTTTTTCATTAATGATCACCCCTCGCTCCGGGCATACGCCCACCCCAGACATTCGATCGGTCATGTACAACTGTGGCCAGTAATTCGAAGATCTGCTCTGTTGTACAGCAAACACGACTTTGCGACATTGTATTGAAATCTCATGCGTCTTCCATGGAGGCTCCAGTCTCGAAGTCTCTCCCCCTCATATCTGCATACTGCGAGGCTCCCGCCTCATTTCGGTTGTCTGGGTGTTTGCCATATGAGCTGAGGCCTTGGCTCCCCTCAACGCCAAAGTCCCTTTTCGCCTCCCGGGCAAACTCCTCCCTTGTGGACGCGTCCTTGCCCTGCTTCGCATCTTGTATCTCGTCCCCAATGGGTCCGCCGCTCACGGATTGGTCAATGAGACCACCCGAGCTGTCTTCTGGGCGTCCACGTTGCTTGGTATCTGCAAACGGGTTCTGCGAAGATCCGTAGCCTCCGGAGGAGGTAGCTGTTCCGTGCTCATTAGCTCTCGGTCCGTCGTCGGAGAGGTATCGTACAAACTCACTATCGTTGCTCGGTGGGTAGTTGCTCGTCTCGTATGTGTTGTCACGGCTCATAACTGCTCGCTTTATAGAAACGGGGCGGTGGTGTTGTAGTTGTGTACGTCGTTAACGAAAATATGGTCGAAGCTCGTGTACGGCCAATGGACTTTATACACAGCGATATACTCCATTATGGGCGCCTTCTGTGTATGACGTCGTTCACCCGACCTCCAAGTCGTGCTTGGAGTTCCTCATGAACGTTGCGTTCACCGCAGTGCATTTGCGGCATGCAGATGTGGAGAAAATATCAGATCGCTTGTTATCATGTCCAATGGCGGCTATTCGGATGCGAAATTCCATCTGCTCATGCTTGGACGACAGGTTGCTACACGGTCCGAGTCAAACGATGGGAGCATATGGAGCCCGTACGTATCTCGTCTCCTGACTGACCTGACGACGCTGTCATCGCGGCGGATCAGGACCCAGAGGCTAGTGAGTACCATTCATTTGCCCCAAAATCCTAATGCCCGCAACTACTAGTACTTCTCGGGGCGAGTGTGAAGCAACTAGTGGAGAGCCGCAGCGCTCCTTGAGTCTTCTATATCCATGAAGGCACGCGAGCGGGATTCAGCCGCCCGGACATACGAAATTATGCTTAGAAGTGTCCCGGCACATATGACTGGAACATGGTTACAGTTGACAACAACAATACGAATTTTATGCCGGCACGCATTCACATTTTGCTCACTAGTGCCGCT